CGGAGAGAGCTGCTTGGAGTGCTGAAAAGGGGTGGTGAAAGCATCCAGGTGGTGGCAGCTTTCTTTAGGATCTAGAAGGTAGCTTCTAAGGACAAGAGAGGAAGCTAAACCTTCCTGGATGAGCAGTTCCTGTGACTTCATAGGAGGGCAGTGTGTGCTGGTCAGCTTTCTGCTGCTTAGACAAAGGACCTGACATCCACAGAGGGAAAGAATTTTATTTAACTCATGGTTTCAGTGTATGGTGGGCTGGCTCTAAGGCACAAACATTATGAGGGAAGGGCAAGGTGAAGGAAAGCTGCCGAACTCATGGCAGGCAGTAAGCAGAGAGAAGGGGCAGAGCTGATGGGAAGAAGCCAGGGATCAGATACAGTTCCCAAGGTCATGCCTCCGTGACACACTTCCTCCTATGAGGTCTACCTCCTGGGAACCATTCTACTATGAACACATCCATGGGCAAATCCATTGACAAGTTAGTGCCCTCACAATTCAATCACTTCCACAAGAGTCTTTTAGCCCAGTGTAGTGGACTGACAACTGGTGGGCAACTTATAACCCCCAACTGAACTGAGTAAGAGTGGTGCTGGGTGTGGGAGGCCCACCTGGGGATTGTTGCCAGCAGCATAAGACGCAGAACTGGAGAAGGAGAAGTGAGGCTGTTGGGAGCTGAAAGGCTGTTGGAGCTGGTAGAAGCTGTAAGGAGCTGTTGGTTCTGTTGGAGGAGCTTGTCATGCTGGCTGTCCTGATGAACTTGGCTGTTTTCATCCTCTGAGGAGCTCAGGACCTTGTTGATACTGAGAATGGCTTCAGTTCACTTTGGGGGAGCTCTGGTCCTCACTTTGAGCATTGCTTCCTGGCTCCGGAGGGGAAGATGGTGCACTGCTCAGTCTCCTGAAGAAAAGCTTGATGAGCGGGCTTCCCCGATGGGACCTCAGCCATCTTGATCATTGGAAGAGCTTGGGACTTCGCTGTTGCTGAGGATGGCTGCAGTACCTTACAGGAGAGCTCTGGTTCTTACTTGCGCATCATTTCCTGGCTCCAGTGTGGATCCCTCAGCCTGCTAGCACAGATCCTTCATCCTGCTGGCACAGACTTCCTAGATTCCACCACTGACCTTTGGGCCTTCCCAGCGCAGATCCATGAAATAGGACTGCATGAGATGTGGTCATAGGCTCTGGGCCTCTAGTTGGATTGGTGGGGGGCATTGATATGGGCTCTAGGTCTTCAGCTGGACTCATGCAGGACATTATCGTGGGATCCAGGCCTTCAGCTGGATTCTTGGTCTATAGTGTGTGGACAGATTTCCTGCACTCTCTTGTATATCATTCTTTGGGTGACTATTATAAATAATCATATAAAATATGTATCCTGTATTATATTGTTCTCCCTTGCAAAAATATCCCTCAAACCAAAACACCCAGTAAGCTGACAATCAAGATTTACTGTTATGTGGGGCGAGAGAGCTGTGATAGAGGAAGGGGAGTTCAGAGACTTTTCAAAGCCAGGCCTGTGTGGCCCTGAGAGGGTCCGCTGGATGGCCACTCACTTTACAGACCCTAAGCTGTCAGGGGATGGGGTGGCTTCTCAGCTCCCTCCTCCAGGTGCCTCTATCATCCAATTAGACCAGAAATGATTCTCCCTTAACCTGGCCTGCAAGCTCCAGGTTGAGGAGGAGCCACAGGACTGTGCAGGGATAGCTGAGGTCCCACAGCTCTCTGGGACAGATTACAGATTAGAATCCAGGACTCCTAATTCCAATGCAGCTTCCATCATGTGATCTTGCATTTGCTCCCTGTGACTCTACCCTGAATGTAGCTTGTCCCCTTCCTTGGAGAGAAGGTGACTTTTCCTCTCAGCAGAATCCTACTGATATTGAACTGGGGAACTTGGTACTCAGGAACATCCTGAGCTACATTCTTCCACTGCAGTGCTGTTAGGGTACCAGGGTAAGTCTTTCATCCTCCTTCGTCTTCCCTTCCTCCTTTCAGAGAGGGTCAGTGGGGCTGGGAAACGTCCCAGGCAGCATCGGGAGCGGGCACAGCCTGCTGCTGAGTCACAGCTGCAGGGACAGGCAGCCTTCAGCCTGGCCCTGGCAGGCGGTCCTGGCACCCTGTAGAATGGGGCTTTGTCTCCACAGAGAACCCTGGGCACTAAGCTGGGTTGGCACCAGTGGCCTTGTTACCCTGCTCACCAGGTCACATGCTATCTTCCCAAAGTCCTGGATCTCAGTGTGCCCAGAGGCTCAGCCCAGCTCGGCAGGGAGGAGCAGGGGCTGCCTGGAGTCTGAGATGAAGGTGGCTGGTTTTGAGGTCCCTGCCAGGCTCCAGAGATTTGCCCCAGGAACTTTCGGGACTGATTTCCACTGTCTCTTGGGAGCTGCTCTTTGCATATGACCACAGGGCTGTTGGGAATATAGGGTCTGGGACGCACCCTGTGGGAGAGATGTTGGGGGCAGGGAGCTGTCTCTATGGCCTGACAACAGGGATATAGGAGTGACTGCTCTTTGTGATGGCTCACAGTTGACCCTGTTCTTTGTCGTTTGCTTAGGGAATGGCCTCCTTCCCAGTGCATTTCCCTGAGGACTCACAGGGCCACACACACACAAATGTCACTTTATCCTCCACCGTGCAGGTTGAAGGTGGGTTGTTAAGACCGACAGTGTCAGAGCTGCTCCTGTACTAAGCCGGACCTGCTCTGGGGAGGCCTCTGCAGTGTGGTGCAGGTCCTGCTCCGCCAGGAGTGCCAGGCCTCCCACCAGGGCTCCCACCACTTCAAAACGGAAGTGGAGGGGGGGATTTTTTAAAGTAGTGTCAACAGCCACTAATGCTATTATTGAAATGATTTCAGGTTATGTAAGGCATCATAGCTTCTCAAGGCTGAGAGGCGCCTGCCCTTCCACGAGGAATATCTCACATTGTTCTTTGTGAGCCCCTCTGTCTCACTTTGGGCTTTTCTTCCCTCCCTTCTTCTTTGCTTTCTATCTGTCTTTCTTTCCTTCTTTCTCTTCTTCTTCTTGTTCTTTTCCTTCTTCTTCTCCTTCTTCTTTTGTACTGGAGATTGAATTCAGGGCTTTCACACTGACATATCTCCAGCTTTTTTCTGTTGAGACAACTTCTCACTAATTTGCTAAGATGCCTGTACTAGGCTCAAACTTGGAATCCTCCTGCCCCAGCATCCCAGAGTGCTGGAACTACAGGTGTGTGCCACCCTGCCAAACCCTCATTTTGGGGTTTAAACGATCTGCTTTGTGGGGATGAAAACAACAACCAGCTCAGATTATCAGAGTATTAAATGAGCTACTTATAAAGCACAACTGGTATTTTGAGTGAATAGGATGAAGTCAGAAGGCATCTGTGCTTGTTTCCACTGTCATGTACTGAAAAGTTCTACTTCTTCCCTACCTTGGGTGAAGAGCTTGGCAGGCCTCACGCCTTCCCTAGCCTTCCCTACCTCACATGGGTCTTCTAGATGCTGTCAGTCAAGGAAAATACTCTCAATTTAGCTATTAAAATGTCCCCTCTTGGTATGATGGACATTGTGAAATGAAAGGAAAATGCTCAAGGTTAAAAGGCAACTGGGATGTGGGAAAAGAGAAGGGAAAGGAGAAATTTTGTATGTATGTATATACAGGATATTTAACATAGTTGAACTACTATCTTCTATTTCTTTACTGAAAGAAACAGTTAATGAGTCCTTGATTGATCAGCATTGCATGTCTCTCTTTGTTTTCCTGAGAAACCACTTTGAAGATATCAATATGTAATACAGCAAGCATTGTTAATTTCCTACCACTTTGCTTGTAACTCTGTATTGTTTGTATTGTTCTTTTGCTATTTTGTAAATGGTTGTCTGTTTGTTAATGTTTTCCTTCTTTTATTTTTAAAATATAAATAAATAAATAAATAAATAAATAAATAAATAAAATGTCCCCTGCAAGTCCAGATAGGCAACTGAAGCTGAGTCCCCTGGACAGAGCAGCTCTGTCCGTGATCACAGTGTTGTCATATTTTGACCGTCCCTCCTGCAGTCAGGCACAGAATCGCACACGTATTTCACTCAACCAAGCTGGTGTCTATAATAAAAGATGGAAAATAACCGGCATGTCAACCTCCTCAGTACCATGCTCAGCTGTACTTTGTTGAATTGCTGCTGGCTGTGGCCCTAAACGTGAGCTCCCATCCCATAAAAGACAAATGAAAACAACAATTATTCTTAAAATTAAGAAAAACCCACAACATGACATCATGGTTTTCCTCTTGACTGATTTAACTAAAACCAGTTGCATAGGCAGAATTTTATTGGTGCAGTATTATCTACTTCTTTATTTTTTATTTGTCTCTCTTATTTCACAGATCCTGCACTTTGTATTACTAGCTTATTGATATGCTATCTATATTCCATGACACTCAGCTATTTTAAGCATACTAATAAATGCTTTTTAGTAAACAATGGACTTGCAACAGCCTCTCTGTATCCCAGTCTTAGGACTTTTTATCAGGCCAAGAAATCCCCTGATCATCCACTCAAGCCTCCATGCCAGCGACTGATAGTCTGTTTTTTTTTTTTTTTTTTTTTTTTGATAGTCTGTTTTATTGACTCTATAGATTTGCCTTTACTGGAAGGCTTATGTAAGTTGGATAGGCATGTATCAGTAGTTTGCTTCCTTTTTTACTGAGAAATAATTTCATTTAAAGATTTTGTTTAATCCATGCATTATTGAAGCTGAATGATTTTTAGTTTTTGGCTTTATAAATAATGGTGCTATGAATATTGATATGTAAGTCTCTGTGAAATATACATATAATTGTCATTTTTTGTAGGGCAGAGAAATTGAAGTGGGACTGTTAATTTATGTGCTTACTGTAGAACTTTCAAAGGGCCCATCAAGCTGTGTTTCAATGTGGCTGCATCATTTTGCATTCCTCCAGCAAGGACAAGGCTTCCTGTTTCTGCACATTCTCAGGAATATGTGTTGTCAGTCCTCTCTCTTCCTTCCTCTGCAGCAACCACTGAAGAGCAGCAGCCGTCTCTCTGCACTGCCCTGTGGGCGTGGGCCTCTACAAGGGCCACAAGGTGGCAAAGAACGTGAGCAAACCGAGGCACGGTTGCCGCCGCGGACCCTCACCAAGCACACCAAGTTCCTGCGGGACATGACCCAGGAGGTGGGCGGCTTCCCCCGCTATGAGCGGCGCGCCATGGAGCTGCTCGAGGTTTCCAAGGACAAGCGGGCCCTCAAGTTCATCAAGAAACGGGTGGGGATGCACATTCGTGCCAAGAAGAAGTGCGAGGAGCTGAGCAATGTGCTGGCCGCCATGAGGAAGGCAGCTGCCAAGAAGGACTGCGCCCCTCTCTGCGGAATAAACTTTTTCAGAAAAAAAAAAAAAAAAATCCTCTCTCTATGCCTGGGTATCTCATGATGGTTCCAATATGTTTTTGTATGTGTGTTTCTCTGATGACTAATGATGTAAAGCATCTTTCCATGTGTTTGTTGGTTATTTATATATCTTCTTTGGAAAAGTATCTGTTTAAATCTTTGCCCATCTAAAATATTGAGTTTGTTTTCTTATTGTGTCTAAATTCTTATGTATCTTGTACACAAATCATTTAACAGACATACAACTTGTGGATATTTTCTCTAATCTGTGGCTTTTCCTTTTCCTTTTATAAATGGCTCTTTTTGAAAAACACAAGTAAATATTTTAATTTCAGTGAAGTATATAATCTACCAATTCTTTCTTTTATGAATCATGGTTTTGATGGTATATATAAGAAATCTAACCCTAATCCAAGGTCATAGGACTCACTCTGATGTTTTGTTTTAGAATATTGATAGTTTTAGCTCTTACGTTTTGGTATAATATATGATTATTGTGTGTAGGGTGAGGTAACTAAGTCCTTTTTTTTGTTTATGGTTATTGGACATCCAGTTGTTAAAGTCTGTCTTCTCCTTCATTAAGTTAACTCAACACCTTTGTAAACAATCAACTGACCATAAAAAGTAACTTTATTTCTGGCTTATTCAGTTTATCTGTATTTTTTTTCGTATACCAAAACAAACTCTCCTGATTGTAGTAAGTTTTGAAACCAAGAAGTGTTCTTGGTTCTTTACATACCTACTTTTTATTATGCAGTTTCTTTGTCATATCTTTAGGATTTTCTGCATACAGACTCATGCCGCTTGTGAATAAAGACAGACTTACTGTTTCCTTCCCAATCTGTTTGCATTTCATTGCTTTTTTTGCCTAGTATAGTGAGCACTGATATCTTTACCTTATTCCCCATCTCTTCCCTATCTTTTACTGTTAAATTTGATGCCAGCTGTAGATTTAACAGAAGCCCTTAAGAAAGTCAAGAAAATGTCCTTGTGTTCATAGTTTTTGAATTTTAATCATGAATGGTGTTGGCTTTTGGGCATTTTTCCTGCAATTAATTGAGATGGTCAGGAGGTTTTTACCCATTATCCATATGTTGTAATCATTAATTTTTGGATGTCAAATCAACCTTGCATTTATGGGATGAATTCTATTTGGCCATGTTGTGTAATTTTTTTTCTAATCTTTTGAGGCAAGGCCTTGCTATGTAGTTCAGGCTGACCTTGAACTCACTATGTGTGTAAGCTGGTCTCAAATTCACAGCAGTCCTCTTGCTTTAGCCCCCCAGTGCTGGGATTTTAGGTGGGTGCTACCATACTTGGCTCCATGGTATGTAATTTTTTAAATGATGCTAGATTTGGTTTGGTAATATTTTGTTAAGAATTATTGCAGTATGGAGACATTGGTCTGTGGTTTTATTATGTCTTTGGCTTTGCTAGGGCAATACTAGACTTATAGGATATGTTACAGTCTGCCTAATTCATCTATACTTTAAAGGAGTTGTGTAAACTTGGTAAATATAGCAGAGAATCCATCAATTCAGTTATCTGGACCTGGGCATTTCTTCATGGGAAGATTTTAAAACTATTATTTCAATATCTTTACTATTAGAAATCCAATCAAGATTTTCAGTTTCCTCACCTTAGTTTTGCTAATATTTTTCTTTCTAGACATTTTTCCATTTCATCTGAGTTGTCTAATGTGTTGGCATAATGTTGTTCATAATATTCACTTATTCTTCTAATTTTTGTGGGGTCACCAGTGATGCCCTCTTACATTCTTGATTTTGCTCATTTGTATCCTATTTTTTTAGTTGATTTAGTTAAAAATTTATCAATTTTGTTGATCTTTTCCAAGAGTCAACTTTTTATTTCTTTGTTTTTTTCTACTGTTCTTTTGTTTTCTAGTTAACTGATTTCTGCTCTGATCTTCATTTCTTTTCTTTATGCCTTCTTGGGTTTAATCCTCCCCATCTCATCTCATCTCTGTCTCTGTCTCTTTCTCCTCTTAAGCTAGAAGCTTAAAATATTGATTGAGAGCTTTCTATTTTTCCAAGTCCTATTTTAGCCCTGTCTTGCTAATTTTGATGTGCTGTAATTTTGTTCTGTTCAGTTCAAAATATTTCTAATTTCCACTGTGATTTTTTCCATTTAATCCAAGGCCTTTTTAGAAATGTTAGAACTCTGTTTAGAAAATCTGTTTTAGAGTTCTAAAGAATTGAAGAGTCTTCAAGTTTCTTCCTTTTTTTCCTATTTCTTATTTAATTTATTGGTGGCTGCACGACATATTTTGAATGATTTAAATTCTTTCAAATATCTCATGGCCTAGCATATGGTTTAACCTGGTTCTATGGTTCCATGTACTTTTGAAAAAAATGTGTATTCATTATTTGGGGGCAGAGTTTTCCATAAATGTTAGTAAAGTTGGTTGATAGGCTTGCTCAAATCTGTTTTTATTGATTTTCTGTCTAGTTGTTCTCTTAATAATTAAAAGCAGAGTGTTAAACTCTCTAACTATAATTATTGTTTTGTGATTTTTTTTTCAATTGTACAGTTTTGTTTCATAAGTTTTGAGGATCTGCTATTGGACACGAGCATCCTCTGTTATGAGGAAGGTAGAGTTTTGACTTGAATTTCCTCCCAGCCATTCTCTCCTTTTCCTCTTGGCCCCCTATTTTCTCCCTCCTTTGTTGCCAGTACACCTGTAAAAAAGTGGGACTCACACTTTTTGAACCAAATCCCATTTTCCCAGCTCAGCAGTATTTTCCTGTTCCATGTTTGGGAGTTATAATGAGGCTTCTTCCCTCATGGTGAAGAGGAATAAAATCAAGTCTGAGCTGGGCATGGTGGCGCACGCCTGTAATCCCAGAGCTCGGGAGGCTGAGGCAGGGGGATCATTGCGAATTCGAGACCAACCTGGACTACAAAGCGAGCTCAAGGCCAGCCTGAACTGCATAGCGAGACTCTGTCTCCAAAACAAAACAAAACAAAACAAAATAAAATCAAGTTTGACCAGATGCTGGTCTCCCTGAGAAGAAATAGCATAACACTTGGCTTTTCTGAACCAAAGGCTTTGGGCAAGGAGAATATCTAGACTGAGAATCCATCCCAGCAAAGGATGCAAAGCTTTCCGTGTTGCTCCTCTCCTGTGAGGGTGCTGAGATTGCTTGACTCCTCCTCAATAATGAAACACACATGTGATGCAGAGGCACTCCGTTATGACCTCACACCCTCCCCTCTCATCTCACCCTCGCATTTGCAAGAACACTGTATTATCAAGGATGTCTGAGCACTATGGCGAATGCCACGTGGAAGGCAGGATTCTGGGCACCAGAACATTGCATAATTATGAAGGGGAGCAGAGGGGCAAGTGGAGGGAGGAAATGCTGACCATGTCTGGTCCACTCTCTTCAGACAGTGCTTTCATAAAGATGAGTCAGAAAATGAGGCTGAGTCTGTTTCCTTCTTCAGATGGGGATGGAGCGGGAGGAGGGCTGGAGGAAGCAGGGAGGTGCTTGTGGAGGAGCCGGGCACATCGCTCTCCACCAGAGAAGCTCTGAGGTTCGTGGAAAGTCAAGACACAGATGGGCATCCCTGCCAGGTCACTCAAATATTCATTGTCAAGTTGATGAACTGGAAATAAAGAGACCGAGATAAGGGCTTTTCCCTCCACGTCCCTCCAGCATCAGGCACGGCCCCAGTTTGCTAATGACATGGAAGCTCTGCCCATTTGATCATTTTGCCTGCAAACTTGGGCTTCTGCCTCCACATGAAGCCAAATTCAAAAAAAATTAGCACATTCTCAGCGCTTTAAATTCTCTAAAATTCTCAGCACTTTAAATTCTCTTTGCAATTTAGCTCACTTCAAGCACAGCGAGTGAGGAGAGATGATAGAATGTGCTCTGTCCCCATGGGGGAGGGGGGCCCTCACCAAGGTGCCTCTGCAGGGCAGTGTGAGTTGCTTTTCTCTTTGGTGAAGGGTTCCCCTGCCCTGGGGAGAGAGGTCACTCTGTCACAGCAGGGCTGCTGTGAAGAAGCAGGATCCAGGCATGTGGTCTACATAAGCGAGCTCCTGGGCATGTGTGTGGAGCTTGTTGTGCCCCCTCTCCTTTCCTCTTCTCCCTTCTCCAAGTCCACCCTGTTTCTCATTCTGCCCAGGCTTACAGATCACAGCACGGTGACCCTGGGAACACAGTTATGTGGGAGGTTCTCTCTCCTCCCTACCTTCTTTCCTGGGCAGAGCATGAGGAGAATCAAGGCAACAAAGACTCACGGGATTGAGCAGAGGGACTGCAGGCGCAGCAGCTCAGCCCCGAGTTGGCTCCCATTGTTCCAGGGGCTTCTGCTGGGCTATTTCTGGGCTTCCGGGGGACTTTCAGTAACACCAGTACTGGGGATGCCTCAGAGACTCCAATTCAGTTGGTCTGGGACCATGGCTGGGAAGGATTTTAACATCACCCAGCTGAGACTAATGGGCAGCCAGAATTGGACGGCAGGCTTAGAGGAAGATGAAAAGAGTTTCCTGCAGTGGCAAGCTCCATCTAGCTCCCACCTGCAGGCACTGGGTTGGCAGGAACAATTCGATCCTAATGGTGGACCGCTTCCTGCACACTTCAGGATGTCTAGGGCCTTTGGCCAATGTCACCCAGCTGCAACTTTCCCTCCCACCGGGGGCAAGGGCAGCCACACAGTTTCCTTGTGCCGATTAGTGACAAGACCAGCAGGAAGCCAGACAAGGAGGTGGGCCCCGGTCCCTCATTTTCATGAGAGAACAGCTTGAGGACATGTGTCTTTCTTTGGAAAGCTGGGGGCTTTCCTGAAGGTATGGGGCAAAGGAGTTATATTTAGTGCATGTGTCCTATGTGCCAGAGTTGGAAGACAGTACTGGAGAGAAAAGAACAACCTGCTTCTATTCTCAGAGAAGTTACAATGTGGCCAGGGATCCGAGAGACACACATGCAAAAACCAGTAATGAGCGAACATAGTAGATCACCATGTGTATGACATGGGTCAATCTTTTGATGTAAGATCAATGCCTCCACCTCTGTCTGCAGATAGTGAAACTGAGGCACAGAAGAGGATATCAATCTGAACTGGAGTGCAAGGAGCAGAGCAGATTCCACAGCTCAGCACACTGCCAGAATTGGAGCAGTCAATAAAGTATTGTCCGAGCCCCAGAGTGGGGCTTCTGAGGCTGGAGATGAGGCTTGTGGTGGCAGTGTGGCCGCAGAAGACAGAGAGGAGGACCGGCAGCCTGGCTCACTATGGTCCCATCAAAGGGACAGCTAGAAGGGACAGAAAGACAAGGGTGAGTGGAAAAGAGGGAAAGAAAAATTATGAAGACGTGAAAGAAAGCACCCTATAGGTCTCATCTGACTTTGGGCAAGAGAGCATCGACCACAGTCAGACTTCTTGTGGGGAGGAATCACAGGGTCTCTGGAAATGAGATTCCACTGCAACAGGGCTGGGCAGGACCCATACTGTACATTCTAACCAGCTGCCTGGTCAAGGCCCAAGGCCCGCACACAGGACAGGGTCACCATGAAAGCCCGAATGCTGTCTGCATGCTGCAGAAACCCATCTACACATCCCTAGCCTGCCATCCCCGGGACAGCTCCTGCAATGGGCCAAAGACTTCTGTCTCTCGGGGTTTTGAGGTGCGTACACACACACACACACACACACACACACACACACACACACACATATGCACCCACCATAGAAGTAACAGGATGACATTTGTGAGGGTGAGTGGGCAGATCTTGAGTTAGAAGGTGGGCAGAGCTGGTCAATAGAAGGAAGAGAAGGAAAAGGAGGTGGTATGTTCACATCTCTTTTCAAGATGATCCATCTCCCTGTGCCTCCGTTTGCATCTCTGTACAGTGGGGATTCTACTGGCATTTAGCAATGGATTTAATCACTGAGCCAAGTGAGCAGCACCTCAGAAATATCAGCTACCATACTGTCACCCCTGCACTGAGTGCAGCCCTCACTGATGCTGAGTTCAGCAACGCTCTTCGAGAAGCACCTGCAGTAGCCGTACCTCATTTATGTTGAGGTGGATGAAGTCCTTGCTCTTCATACTGAGGGCCTGGAACACCCCTGCCAGGAGAGACAGAAAGGTGTCACCATGGAGACCGTACCTTCAGTGACTGGAAAGCCATCTGTGGGGGTGTTGCTCCCTCTGGTGGCAGCCAGGGATTGTCGGGCACAGCCTGAGGACTGGAGCAACAGAAAGGTCTTCAATTCCCATTGCGGGACAGTGGTCTTGGAGTGGTAGCTCATGCTGTATCCTATGCCAGTGGCTGGCAAATTCCAGGATCTAAAGCTTCCCTGTCTTAACCTTTTGCAGTCCCAGATTCCCTGAAATCCATGGCTGCCAGCCTCCCCATTGGAGATATTTGCAGATGCAAGAACAGAATCTCTGGGGTCTGTTACTAAATAATTCTGGGGGAAAGTATGTGTTGGAGGGAAAAATTGTTCAGACTTTGGGTGTAGTGTTGGAGCCTCCTGGGAATTTTTATACATCCTGATGGGTGTGGGTGTGGATGTGGAGTGTTTTATAAATTCTTACCCCTGAGAGTGTAACCTAATTGGTCTACTGTGTAACCTGGTCATCTTATTAATTTTTAAAATTTGTGATGTGTGGGATGGGATCCAGGTCCTGGCACATGCCAGGGGGGCGCTCCCCACTGAGCTACATCACTGCAGATTTCAAGCTCCCTTAGGGGTTGTCACATGTAGCAAAGTTTGTGAAGCGCTGATGTGAGGAACGTGGAAGCCTGTTATTCTCTGTTTTTAAGGGGATGGTTGAAAATTTCTATGGTTGAAAGCTGAGATCACACTGGGGCAAAGCTGTAGCGTTGGTGAGTTTCCCAGCCGATGCCAGAAGCCTGAGAGCCTCTTCCCTGGTTCTCCTCCACCAAAGACCAGCCAGAGTGGGCCAGGAAACATTAGTCAGGAGGGGCTGAAGAAGGGGGAGATCAGCTGAAAAGAGAGTGGTTACCAGATCTCTGATTCCTAGGGTCTGCTCTGATCACCCCACGAGTCTAATAAGTATCATCTTTGGGGTCAGTCTTTTGGGAATCACCTCTTCCTGACTACTGGTCACCACCTGAAGAGGCTCTGCCCCCTAGAGGACACCCAGGGCCTGCTCCCCTCTTCTGCCACTACCACGTTTGTTGACTGCTCACTAAGTATGGCTGCCCCACCTCAGCTTTCCTACCAATGGAAACACGTTCAAGCAAGTAATGACCACGTCTGTCACCTGGGTGGAAGAGTGTCACATCACAAACCTGAGACCCAGCCATGCGGTCATTTGTTGAGTAGATTTTAGCAAATGGGAGGCAGGCCTGGACACAATGGGAGAAGTCATGTGTAAAGTGGAACGTGGGGTTTTTGAAAACTCAAGACTTGCAAGATGGTGACAGCAGAGCATTTGACCCAGCATGAGGTGCCTGGGACCTGGGTCCCTCTGTACTTGGCAGGTGAAAGTCTAGATATATCTGGCCTCCTTCACAGGTGGTGAGTGTCATAATGGGTGCAGCAGCAAGACAGACGCCCCATGTAGCCCTTCCCCCTTCCCGCTAAGCAGTCTTGTTGGCTTACAGAGGAAGGGAGCGAGAGCTCTGAGACTCTTCACATCCTATGTGCTGTGATGGGTTTAACCCAGAGGGGACCTTCCCTCGATGTAAGGCCTGCCCCCATCCTTTGCAGAGACTGAGTATGTGAAGAACCCGAGTCAGGAGACGCACATTGTGAGAAGACACCTCTGCCCTCAGCCAGCCCCACAGGCACACTCATCTGCACAGATCACAGAGGCCCTCTAGGTCTGTCTTTGCTGTATTTTGCCAGATTTTTTTCCCCAACACTGTGGATTGAACCCAGGGCCCATACCCTAAGCTACGTCCCCAATCTTTTTTTATTTTGAGACAGAATTTCGCTAAGTTTCCCATGCTGGGTTGGAACTTGTGATCTTCCTGTCTCAGCCTCCCTGAGTGCTGGAATTACAGGTATGTGCCACTGTGCCCACTTCCAATTTTATCTTATATATGCTCAGGAAGCACGACCGAACGTGCCCTGAGGCCCCTCCACCCTTCACAGCCCCCAACACTCACGGGTCGCATTCTCTAGCCGCACCAGGCAGTTGAGGAAGTCATCGAAGTCCATCTGGAGCTCCTCATCTGCGTACCTGAGCACAACCAGCTGCAGAAGGTGGTTGCTCAGCTGGAAGCCTGCAGAGGGACAGCGGCCTGGGAGTTGCCATGTTGGCCCATGGGGCCACAGTGCCAGGGCTCCCAGGTGGCCCAGAGTAAACTGTCAAAAAGGCCAACATCTGCTCCCCAAAGCCGAGATCTCCGATCTAGGGGGCTTGTCCCTGGTCAGATGTGGGTGGGGGTGTGCGTCTGTGCTGGGGACTCTGAGCACTAGGGGAGCCATCTGAATGTAATGTGTCTAAGGAGCTCTCAGTGCTAGTTTTGCCATCAGCATCGCCCCTGGGGCCTGGCTGGCTTTCCAGGAAGTCTCGATGAGCAGACCGCAAACCCTGGACGGTGTCTGAGTCCCACGCTGGCTCTGCAGCAGCTCCCTCTGCCAGCATCTGCCAGGTTCTGCCCCAGAACCCTCTCAGGCAGGACACTGAGGTGTGTAAATACCGCTCAGGGGCATTTCAGTCTAGGATGTGTCTCAGAGGGGCGCTGCAGCCCACACAAAGACACTGTGCGGGCTCCTTTCTACCTGGCACCATGGAGGGTGGCACAGGCTGCGGCCAGGAGCCGCTGGAGCTCTGCTGCCCTGGCTGTGGGCTGTGTGCAGCTTCCCTGCTCTGCCTTCAGTTTCTCACCTGTCAGATACAGGTTTAGACACAGCAGCGTTCTTTCCAGATCCAATGTTCAGTGCTGGATTTCTTGTCACATGCTTTGTTTTGTTTTTGAGGTTCTGAGGACAGAACCCATGCTAGGCAGGCACTTACCACCAGGGTGCGTGCCACCCCCTAATGGCTACAGTGCTCTTAGGAGCTGTGCTTCTTCTCTGTCCCAGCCCAGCCCATGTGCTCCGCCCGCGTGTTCACAGGATTTCTAAAGCCCACACTGGGCATTCTTGAGTCTGCTGCCAGATTCCAGTCAGAGGAGGAGGCTGGTTAGCCCCAGAGCAGAGTTGCTGGAGCCCACACAATGGTACTGGCTATGGGTATGCTAGGACCCAGGTGTCTCCCTCTATAGACTCCCCCTCCTCAAGTTAGGATTGAAAATGTGGTCCCGTTCCTTCTCTCTAAGAGTCCCTTCATCCCATGCTCAGATCCGCCTGCTCTAGAGAATCAGGCACCACCTCAGTTGTGGTATTCTCCCTATCAGACCATGACCTGGGTGTGTTCCAGATGTCTAGTGCCCTGGGATGGGGGTGTATCATAAGCAGGGTCAAAAGCAGTAGAAACCCCTGCCTATAAAGTGCACTGGATTCAGGCTGCGGAGGAGTCCCCAAGAGCAGCCTGCCAGGCAGTGACTTCAGGTGGTGGAAACACCCCTGGTAGCCTGTCCTTCTTGGAAAGTAGTTGGGTATCAACTGAGTCATCTGGTTTAGAGTCAGAGTCTGTTGCTGGCAGAGCTGGAGACGGGCCACAGGTAGTAGGTGGAGGGCCACTCGGTTGCCCAAATCACAGGTAGGCACGCTCTGTGCCTGTGGTGATAATGACTACCACAAAGTAGCACTTAGAGGTTTGGAAGCACTGTGGCAGGCCACCAAAGAGTCACATATCACTGTGCTGGCCAAAGCCTTGGCCAGTGGCTGAGAGGCCTGTGGCACAGGACAAGTTCATTCATAGAGGACATATCTTAAAAATTCCTGCTGATGTGCACTGTGATTTTAAAAAAGGACCTGGCATGAGCAAGGGAGCTCTGGGGATTGTGACCTTAAGAAGTGTCAGCGCCACTCAGAGGCTCACCTTTGAGTGGCATAAGACCTGCTCCAGCCTGCCACCTGCTAGGGTTGCAGGCAAGTGCCCCCAGCAGCAGTCCCACCACCCCAGGTCTTCCTTTACCTGCAGCTTTCAGTGCAGTCCGTAGCTCATAGGAGGATATGGTGCCAGACTTGTCCACATCAAACTGGAGGAACAGGTTCTGGGGGGAGAGTGGGGCAATGCGGGCAGACTGTCATGGATGACAATAACTAGGTGGCAGCTGCCCAGGAAGAGACCCCCAGGCCACCCCAAGCTACAGAGGCAAGGTCAGGCTGGGCCCTGTCTCTGTCTCTGTGTCCATCCACATCTCCACCTGCCACATTCTCATGCAGACCAGGCTAGCATGCTGCCGCTGAGCCACACTCTAGCCCAGGGCCCTCTTTCTGTTAAGCATCAGGATTCCACCATGACATCTCCCCTCACCGCTCTCAGTTCCACCCTTAGCCTCTGCCTTTGCCCGCCCCACTTGCTTTGGGCTTGCTGTCTGCTCAAAGTCACATACAGTCCACTGCTTCAGCTTGTTCCAGAATACCAGGAATTCACTGAAGTTCAGCTTCCCATTGCCTCTGGTCTGGCAGTGTGGGTTAAAGGAACAACCAAGGCTTGTTGTGGGACCCCAGATCTGGCAGTGTGTGTGTGGGAGGCTGATGTCTAGCCTGGTGGCACAGGCGACAGATTCAGGTGGTGACTTTAATGACTGAACCATGCATCTCTGATGAGAACTGGAAGGAGTGGGCTGGAGAGAGGCCACCCAAAGCTTTGCAAAATACAGAAGCAGACTATTCATTGTACTGGGTGGAGCCCCAAGTGCCAACGTGACCCCCCAAGTGCCAACGTGACCCCAAGTCCTTCAGATATCTTCTCCCCATTGGATGGTCCTGGATTTTGGTTCTGACCCAGATCTAGCACCAGGGGATATCTGGGTCTTTCCTGGGAAGGTTTCCTATTGGCTGAGCATGTGGCATCCTCAGCACATGTGCAAACAGAAACCCCTGACCTGCAGATGGTGAACTGATTGGAAGGATACGTCCATCAGAGAAATGATGTTCTTGCAGGAGATCAGGCTTAGTTTCTTGAACTTGAAGTCCTTTTCTGGAATCACACATGCAAGCAGAATTCAGTTGACCTAGTAAGACAGACTTATGCCCCCTTCTGCTGAGAAACCCAAAGTGTGGCCAGACCTGGGGTCAGGGAAATGTAAATTAGGCCCTCTCTTATGATGCCACTGAGTATATAAGCTGACATGGCCTCTAAGAAGGAAAATTTACAGCAACAAAATTCTTAGAAACGGGAGTGACAGGCCAGGATATAGCTCAGTGTTGGAGAGTTTCCCTGGCATATGTGAGGCCCTGAGTTCAGTCCCCCACAAACACAAAGCCCTACAAAAACAAAGAGACCAAAAAAAAAAAAAAACCCCCCAAAAACCACAGAAAGACAGACACAGAAAGTACTAGTGTATCTGTTCATTCTAGTTCTTAGAATTCCAAGCAAAAAATTACAAAAGATTTTTATCATAAGGTTATTAATGGCAAAATTTAGAAATGATATAAATGACCAATGGAAGGGTATTACCAGTAAATTATTCACAGATTGTGTGTGTGTGTGTGTGTGTGTGTGTGTGTGTATGTATGTGCAGCACTGAGGATTTAACCCAGGGCCTTTGCACTGAGCTACATCCTCAGCTCTATTTTATTTTTTTAATTTTGAGACAGGATCTCTCTAAGTTGCCCAGGCTAGGCTCGAACTTGTGAGCCTCCTGGCTCAGCTTCCCAGCATTACAGGCATAAGGCACAAAGCACAGCTCGAATGGTATAATTTTTACAATCAGGAAATCAACAATGTCAGCTGTTTGTAAAGCTTCCCTAAAGTCAGCTCGGGAAACAGATCCTGGGGAAGGGCAAGGAGAGTGGGGAGCTGGAGGGATACAGCAGTGTGACCACTTGTTCCCTCTGTGGGAGCCCTGGGTCCCTGATGGGTGTGGCACTCACTCTTTTGCAGCACAGCATTCAAAACATATTCCAGCTCCTCTGCTGTCACCTCCATATCCTGTGGAGGTGGAGACAAGAGCCCCTTAGAGCCCCGGCACCTCCTGTTGAGTTTCCATCAGTCCTGAGCTTGATTTGGCTCAGGTGACAGATTAGTCCTGAGACCCCACTGCAGGCAGCTGTGCCCATCTCCTGATGGCTGCTGCCCACTGGCTTCTTGGGGAGGCCTGGTCAACCCTGCAAAGACCCTGGCAGGAGGCGTGATATCCAACTTTGCTGCAGAGGAGAAATACTCTGGGAATAGCTCCTGGTGCTCCCAGAGGGCTTAAATGCCAGAGAAATTTGGCAGAGCTGGTGTGAGTTTCCACTCCTTTCCTCACAGCATTGCCTGGAGAGCTCCAAAGAAATTCCACTTCTGGGGCTTACTCCAGGGACCGTTAAGTTGGAAGATCCTGAAATACGGCTCACTGATGATTTATAAGATACCTAAGGGGTAAAATTCAGAGCCATCAAGCCAAGCAGTACAGTAAACCTTGTATCCTGCAGCAAACCCTGTTGCAAACATAGTCTTGAGCTTTGGCCCAGACTTACAGGAGTAAAGCCTGCAGTTTTTCCAGTTGCCCAGGTGGTTTTCATGCACAAGAGAATATGGCAGTCCTGCCATTGGCTCATCTGTCCAGGGCTGGAGCCCCAAGTGTGGGACACAAACCCAGGGGTTATTTTCACATGTGCCAGGAGTTCTACCCCTGAAGCCCCTATGTTTGAAGGTTGAGGGTTTGGCCCTGGTAAGAAAGTGAGGATGGCCAGGAGTGGTGGTGCAGGCTTGTAATCCTAGTACTCTGGGAAGCTGAGGTGTGAAGATTTCAAATTTGAGCCCAGCCTGGGCAACTTAGCAAGACTGTATTTCAAAATAAAAAAGGGCTGGAATACAGCTCAGTGCAAAGGCCCTTGATTCAGCGCCTAGTATTGCAAAAAGAAAAAACAGGGCTGCGGATTTAGCTCAGTGGCTCAGCACCTGCCTGGCAAGTGTGAGGTCCTGAGTTTGATTCCTGGTACCACCTCCCAACAAAAAAAAAAAAAAAGAAAAAAGGTGCAGATTCAGCCAGCCTGTGCCTACACTGAATGAGAGGGAGAGATGGAGCCATGTGCAAGGTCACCCCAAGACTCTTACAGGACAAAGTCCACTCCAGAGGGCTTTCTCCTTGTTAACAAAGGTTGAATGATCCAGCCCACTCCAAACCCTGGCAACTTCCATCCCTGCGCATACACCTCCTGTGAGATTCAGAGCTCATCAAGCTGGCTCTGGCTCTGACAGCCCCAGCCTCAGCCTCCTGCAGCATTCTCCAATCATACCCCCCACCAGGCTTCTGTCCCCTGTCTTCCTACCCCCACTGAGACCCACTCTGGCCTGCAAGAGAGATGGTCACTCTTCTGCTGTGGTAAAGCTGGGCACATGGCCTCTTCTTCAGCCCGGGTTTTGGCCCCAAGCCCCTGCCCTGCTTGTTCATTGCAGGCCCTGTGGCGTCACCATCAGATGCTCCTGGGATGTAGGCTTCACCTCCCAGGCAGAGCTTGACTCAGTCACATGAGTTAGTCCATCCACTGCTTTTACAGTGGCTACTCAATGGGCAGTGCCTGGCAGAGAGGGGACACCTGAATGTGTGAGGCTTCACCCAGGTCTCCAGGGGTACTTGGTCCCAACAAGTGGGGTGAGCCATGGAGAGGCGAGAATGGGCTTGGGGCCAAAAATAAGGAATGGAGTTAGAGGTTCTGTTCTTCCTCGGTGGCCTACCTCTGACCCTGAGCACTTGCTGCCCCAGGACTCCTCCTGGGGTGCCAAATTTATAGTGGAATAGGGCCTCCCTGAGCTTTGTGGAGTGAGAAGGCATTTGTGTGTGGTGTGTGTGTGTGTGTGTGTGTGTGTGTGTGTGTGTTACTGGGGATTGACCCCAGGACCCTCACGCTGAGCCACATCTCCTTTTTTTCTATGTTCATTTGAAGGCAGGGTCTTGCTAAGATGCCCAGGCTAGTCCCATTGCAATCCTCCTGTCTTAGCCTCCCAGAGTATTGGGATTACAGGCTTGTGCTACCACAGCTGGTGAGATGGCATCTTAATGGCAGTGATTTCTGGGCAGAGTTCAGAGGATCCACTTCGTCAGGGCTGTCCCTGATCTGCTTCAGGAAGCTTCTGGGTAGCTCTGAGGCGCTTTGGGCTTGATGACCCCGTCACAGAGGTGCACTGGTGTGAGATGCTCTGGACAAACTGGTACTTGGGCCTCTGAGACCAGACCTAATGTCACTTTGCCACAAGCCCCTCCAGACCTTGGAAAGGCACTGCTGATAAACCCATGAGCACAGTGCCCTGCTGGAAAGCCAGGCAGTCCTCAGCTGGGGAAGACCAAGGCAGGAAGCCTACCTCACCAGCGATGTGCTGGAACAGGGCCCGGAACTGCTGCTCCTCCTCTGTCTCCTGCTCAGGAAGAGTCGGCTGCAGGGGCTGAAACATAACCAAAGACCCCCAAGGAAGGGAGCTGATGTTTGCTTCTCCAGGGACACATCACGGTGCTGCCCGCAGGGAGAGCTGGAACTGTGCCCAGACATGTTAATCCCGGGTGGGAGGCAGAGTCTCGAGGCCGCAGGAGGTTCTTCAGAACAAGATCCTGAAGGACTAGGTCAGCTGGACTCACAGATGTCAAGGGACAGACTTTCCTCAAGCTGGGTCTAAAGACCTAACCGGCATTTGTCAGTGACTCATGAATTAGGCAGCTTCCCATCTCAAACATAGCCTCCTGGCTGGGCTGGCAGATCAGTCAGGTTTTAAAGGCAGCTTGGGCAGATCCAGAAGCAGCATGGTATGAAAATGGATTGGCAGTGAGTTCAATTCTCAGTACAAAAAAAAAAAAAAAATTGAAAATGGGTTGGTAGACCAGACATGGAAGTGCAGTCCTGTAATCCCAGAGCTCTGGGAGGCTGAGGCAGGAAGAGCTCAAGTTGTAGCTCAGTCTGGGCAATTTAATGAGACACTGTCTCAAAACTAAAAAAAAAATATTTTAAAAGGGCTGGGGTCAATCTCCAGTACCATTAAAAAAAAAAAAAAAAAAAAAAGCAAAGTGATTGGGTAGCTCCAGGAACTACCACTGACCTCACTTATGGAGGTTATAGCAGAGGGTCTTCTCCCCTCTTGGCTAGAGCTGACCTGTGTGGGGTCTAGCTGTCATCTCTCTCCTGATATTTCCAAAGATGAACAGTTTGGTCTTGATGTGGTGACATAAACATCAGCAGGAGTGACTGTATTTTGGTTGCTCTGTTGGGACCAGGGTAGGAGCTCTGCGCCAACCAGCAGCTTCCATAAGTTCTGGTTGGCATGGAAGGGAGTAAAGGAAGCCAGGCCTGACTATTGGCTGTCTAGGGGCTGCCATGCCTCCATTCCGCCCTGACCTGAGAAGGCAGTTACTGCCCTGTCCTCTGTTGATTGGGCAGTGGACCTTTGGAAGGCAGGAATCTGTCTATGGCAGGAGCTGCCGGGAGATGATGCACATCTGAAGAGGCTTTGGTTTCCCTGTTTACTGGTGCTGATGGGTGGCAGCCAGCATAGCAGCTCCAGCCGGGAAGACCTCTGAGGCCCCTGAAGGTCTTGCGGCCCTGGGATGAAGAGAGGTTGGCCCCTCTGCTCCAAAGCACATACAGTGCAGGGAGAGTCCCTGGAACTCACGGCAAAAGAAACTATCGGCTTCATTCTTTCCTTGTTGTTGATTACTTTTCTAAATAAAATACATTTTAAAGTGATTTTGTTCTCTCCACAAACAGCAGACACCTCTCAGGTGGGTTCAGAGGTCCAGAGGCAGAGGACGGCATGCAGAACTTTATGCCAGTGCCTGCCTCAGCCCTGCTGTAGCCTGTGGGTTTTGCACGGACCTTGGCCTCCAGGGCTGGAGCCACAGCTGCGAACCCAAGAGCAAACACCATTTCCTGACCTTGAGCTTTGCAAGGCACCATGGTCCGAAGAGATAGTTCCAGGGCCCTTGCCCACATCCCGTTCCCCCGCAGGGGCCGAAGACTCACCTCCGAAAGGTGGATGTCTACGTCTCCATCCAGGTCTCTGCAGGGCGGAGAACACAACTCCTCAGTTGTGGAGTGACTTCTTACCAAGGCTTGAGCCATGGCAGGCTCTGCCCGGCGGGAACCCTGCTTGTTCAGTGCCCCTCACCTTTCATGGGATTTGCCAGCCCCAGGCCTTCCCACTTGGGCTTGTGGGCTTGTAGGCTTGTGGACTGCACACCTTGACACCTGGCTCAGCCACTTACACCCTGGCTGGCACTACAGCAAGAGGGAGATGGGGGAAGCCCTTCCCCAACCAATGCCTGCAAATCCTAAAAGTCAAAAAGTCAAACCAGCAGACACTTGCTATTTTCCTGATGCATGTTAACGAGGCCACTGCTGAAGGGATGTGTGGAGCAGGGGGCCCCAAAGACCCACAGGTAGGACCGTCTCTCTCCATGCATCCCATCAAGGCATCCGCAGGGGAGATGCACAGGGCTCAGATGTCTCAGCCCATCCAGACTGTATCACGGGGTGGGGAGGACTTAAAAAGATTACAGAGTCCCTAGAGTCAGGACCAAAACTAAAACAAACACAAAAACCTTGAAGCTGCAAGCCACACCCTTTGTCACCCACGCAGGTGACCAGGGGCTGTGTGTTTGTATGTTCATATTTGGAGAAAAGAGGAAAAATGATGGAAACTGTTAATTTTTCTGTTCACATATGTAGGGGAGTCCCAATGTTTCCATAGCAGTAATACTAGGAAGCAGACTTCGGCTTTTGTTGACAATAAAAACATTTGGAGGACTGCACTCTTATAGGCTAAAACCCAAGGCTTTCCTAAAGAAAAAATGAAAAATTCAAAAGTACAAAAACAACAACAGCAGCAACAAAAAACAAAAACAAAAGCCCCCCAAGGCATTAAGACGTAGCCAGGCAGTTCTCCCGGGTCTCCTCATCTCCTGTGTGCACACAACAGAATTCTGAAATTCTCTAACAGTTAAAAAGTTAAAGACTTTACTGCTTCTATTTAGCTGAGAGAAAAAACCAGGCCTTTGTCATCAGCGTGGCCGGGCTTTGTGACGGAGGCTCCTCTCTGCGCAGCCACCCACCCTTTGCTCACCGAGCAGCAGGAAACCAGGCTGGGCCATGTGTCACAGCTGGGTCTCTCTTGACAACACTGTGCAGGTTGCTCCCCCTTGGGCTTTGCCTAGCAAAACTACAGAACCAGTCCAGGCCATTGCCTGCAATTTTTACAATAGCTTCCTTAGGTAAAGAAACAGATTTTTTTTTTTTTTGTCTTGAACCATTTCCCCTCTGCTACAGGATAACCAGTGTTGAAAGAAGCAATGGGAAATCTTCCACAGAAGTAAGAGATATAGCCAGATGTGGAGGTACACGTCTGTAGTCCCAGCATTTGTGAGGCTGAGGCAGAAGGATTGCTGCTAGTTCAAGACCAGCCTGAATTACAGAGTGAGACCCTGTCTCAAAAGGAAAAAAGTAACAGATACAGAATTATTTTGTGAGACACTTGGCAAGAGTAGGGCTAGAGTGTGGGGAGTGTGAAGTGGTCCAGACCATCAGCATTCATGTAAAGGAGCTGAAAGAACACGTCACTCTGGAAACCTGGAGTCCTTACAAGCACAGAAATAAGTCTAGCATTCCTAAATGTGTCTTTGGATCTGGACTGTCCCCCAAAATTCTCATGTGCACAGAGGCAGCCCTCTGAAGGGCAGCTGGATTGTGGAGGCACTGTAGCCATGGGAGGGTGTGCTGCTGGGAGGTGGGGCCTCCCCAGAGGTCACTGGAGACGTGACCTGGAAAGGTCTGTCTGTTCCCGTGCACCTCTCTTCTTTCTCTGCTTCCTGGCTGCCATGATGTGATCAGCCTTCCTCTGCCACACCCTTCTGACATGTTGTTTCTGCCTTGGAGCCTGCCAATCATGGACTGAAGCTTCTGACACGGTGAGCCAAAGTAAACCCCTGCTCCTTAAAGAGAGGGCTGTCAGATATTGTGTCTCAGAGATGAGGAAAGTGACCAAAACAACGTGCCCCCCACTGGCAGAAGTTCCCTGATATAGTGTCCTGGTGACAAAGCCCGGAAAGCAGAGCTCTCTACACATGATTCTGGCAGCAGTCAGGCCGGCAGCTCTTTATCAGTTTGCCCGAAGATGAGAAATGCAGTGCTATGGAAGAGATGTGCAGCTTTTTGAACGATGTGTTTTGCAGGGCACAGTGGCAAAGGTGAGATGGGGCTGCAGTCCCTGGTGATCTCTGCCTGCGTACCACTAAGGAGGAGGAGGGTTCTGGAGCTGCTCCCTTTCCTCACCTGGTGATGGCCTTCTTTTCTGAAAAGATCCTCAGGCAGAAGTCAGCCTCCTGATGGGGCTCAAAGGTGCTGGGGATCAGGATGTACTCCCCCGGGGGCAGCCGGAAGCGGTCAGAGACTTCCCTCAGGTTGATGAAGGTCTTGCTTCTGGCCAGGGAAGCGTGGTACCTGAAGAAGTCTCTGCTCAGGTGTCCGTGCTCCTCAGGGCTCTGCAGTGGAAGCAGGGTGCTCTAGGGGCCACCTCTTTTGGCTCCTCAGACACAGTCAGGAGCTGGATGTAGATCTCAGGCATAAAATACAATCGGGCACCTGGGAGCTCAGAGCCCTGGGGCACCTGAGTGCACTTTGGTCCCCTACCTGGTAAATGGCGTAGCCTATGGTCAGCATGTCAGCACCAAACCTCTTGAGTTTCCTCCGATCTTTCTGCATCAGGGCTACCAGGAAAGTGCATCCGTCCTGGCCCTCGTCCTGCTCTGTCAGAGACAGCTTTATCTGTGGATTGGTCCAAAAGGTATCTGCCAGGTAAAAGAAGTGGGTGGGTTAGCATCACTTCCTTAAATTACAGAGAAAACACACACACACACACACACACACACACACACCATTTTACCCATCCCACCAGGTCTTCCCATCCTGAGAAAATGTTCTTTCTCTCCCTATTCCAATCATTCCCTTGCCCTGCTTCCTGCAATCCCCAGCAAGAATCTCTAGCATCCCCTCTTCATTTCCACTTCTTTCCAAAGGACACACATCCTCCTGGTTCCAGTCTGCTTAGGTCTGTTCCACCTTGTTTTTCCCACTTGGCATTTCAGAGGAGAAAGTACTGAACTGTGTTATGAGTCATTTGAGTAGACTGGACTTTACCCCCAGCTCAAGGATGAGCTCTGGTCCATGACAGTCCCTTTTGCCACACAGAACTGGAACAAATACATTAAGCTCACAGCATTCACCAAAGTCCATTCTCCCAATGGACTTTCCAATGCAAGGGAGTCAGCACTTCTGTGTGCTGATTTACAGGCTCTTGCTAGGGTGTGGAGAGGGTCCAGGAAAGACTGAGTGTGGCTGGCAGCCCTCCCATGTTTACAAAACAGGCCAGACCAGGGAAAAAGTGAGCAAAGGAAGAAAGCAGCACTTTCTTCCAACAAATGGAGCCTGAGCCTTGATAGAACCATACCTGAAGCCTGTTATACTTCTTCTCTGCCCTGTTCAGTTTGTAGGACAATTAATCTGGTATGACTTGTGATTTCTGTTTCTTACACTGGTAACAACCCAAAACGTAAATAACCCAGGTGATCAAATGGAGTTTCCCCTGAAAATTCTTGTCAGCTTCCTACTATGCCTCTATAGCTTTCTTTTCTCGGTCATCCCTGAATCCTAAAGTCCAGCTCTACAATTTAGCTTCCCCAAGGGTCCTGGTCCTAACCCTTGATGTCCTGGGCTGGGCTGGATGCTTGGGAATGGCGGCTGAGTGATAGGAAGCCACCTACCCAGGAAGTTGCGGCAGCCCCCAGCCGTGGAGCCCCGAACCCAGCTTCCTTGGTGGACTGTCACCTCCCATCTGTGGAGAGTGTCCTCCTCCAGGGCATCGGGTGTGAGGTTGCAAATCTCCACCTTGTCAAAGTGGGCCTTGAAATCCTTAAACGCCATCCTGCAGCAAGATGAAGGGTTGTTGGGTAGGAGATGATGGCAATGACACCATCTGTCCTCTCCATCAGCCATCCATGGAACGGGGGTCAGAACATACCACAGAAAGGGTAAATAAAGGTTTTAAAAGGTGGAAAATGGTAAAAACACAGCTTGATAGGAAGTGATAAGGGCTAGAGAGGAAAACAAAGTTGGCCTGGAGGGTGGGTGTTCCCCGGGCAGATGCTGGGCAGGCATTGTGGGTGGAGGCCTATAAAGGTTTATCATGTTTGTCGATTTGACTGGCTTGGGAACTACCTGGGAGATTAGTAAGGCACACTCTGAGTGTGTCTGGAGTGCCATGGAGACATGACCTTGGGGACCATACCTAGTCCCTGGGCCCTTCCTCTTGGGCTCTGCTTCCTGGATGCCGTGTCTCCAGCAGCCCTTGCATTGGCCCTTTTGCCATGATGCTCTTGCCTTGGAGCCAGTTGAATCTGGACTGAATCTCCTGAACCATGAGCCAAAGTAAAGCTCTTCTTTAAATTGTTTTTTCAGGTATCTGATCACAGTGATTGAAAAAAGCTAACACATGATCTAAAGCAGACTGAAGAAATGAGAGGTTCTCTGGGGTCCTGGTGCAGAGGGAGTGAGGTCTCCAGGCAGACGGGAGCTTGATGTGTTCATGGCTCACCAGGAAGGCCCGTTGGACCACAAGGCCAGTTACATATCAGTCAGGGACAAGATCCAGAGGAGTGGTGGTGGTGGGGTAGGCAGAAGGGGGTGGCTTTGACTCTGAAAAGATAGGAGCCACTAAATGTGACCTGGCCAGCAAGGAAGTCAGCTCATCATCCCAGGAATGGAGGCAGAGGTGTCACTCCGTCCAGCCTGGGGGTATGAGCAGTAGCCAGACTTGAGAAAACCTAAAAGAGATCGTAGAGCTGCTGAGGGGTTGGCTGAGAGGTTGGACATGGGGAAGAAGCGTGTGGAAGGCAGCCTGTGGGGTAGTCAGCACGAGGCACAGGGTACAGGGGTGGGGTGCTCCTCTGAGGCATCTGATGGGCACTGGGAGTTGTGGCACAGGTGGTGGGTGTTTGACTCTGGAGTCCCAGGGAAAGGTGCTGATGAGAAAAGCTGCGGTTGTCAGTGTGAAGAGGGGCTTTAGAGTGGACCCGGGGAAGTCACCCAAGGGATATGTGTAGGTAGCAAGGATGGAGTCTATACAGTGAGCCCTGGGCCTGATGCCAAGAGGTTGGGGAGGATGAGGCACCAGGGAAGGGCCATGAGCAGCCCCAGAAGTGAGGTACCAGTGTGTCATTGCTATTGACAGAGAGGAGAGGCCACAGCCTGTACCAAGCCACCCAGCAGGTCACTCTGGTGGCAAAAAAAAAAAAAAAAAAAAAAAAAAAGTGGTAAATGCATGCTCTGTTGCTACAGTCTGAATTTACATGTTGAAATGCAATCACCAGTGTGGCAGTCTGAGGAGGTGGGGCTTTGGGAGGTGTTTGGGTCAGGATGGTGGTGCCCTCTTTGGTGGAATTAGTGCCCTTAGGAGGACCCAAAGAGCTCCCTGGGTCCTTCCACCCTGTGAAGACACAGCAAGCAGCTTTCACTAGACACCAGATCTGGTTTCAGCACTGTGAGGAATACATTTCTGTTGCTTGGAAGCCCCAGCCATGGCATTCTGTTATGGCAGCACGAACACACTTAGATAGCACAGAAATGTGGGAGGCTGAACCAATGCCTGCTGAGGCCATGCCGGGGAGAAATGAGAAGCTGGACTATTCGTGTGCCTTGGTGCTGTTTGGTACATTTAGGAGGTGTTCCAAGGAGATGAACCCAGCAGGAGCTGATGGGCTGCAGGGCACAAAAGGAGACAGGGCTCAAACCAGACATGGGCAATGGCAGAGCTGGAGGAGGTGCTGCCTCTGGACCCTAAAATGAGATGTAAAGTTGAGAAAGATTCTAAACATGAAGAGCCATCAGAAATGTCCACTCAAACAAAAAGACTCAGCCCCATGGAAAGCCCAGCACAAGGGTAATCTCCCACCCGACATCTAGACTTCTGGATGTGCTGCCTTCAGGGCTGCATCATCAGGCTGGCTGGGGAGGGAGTGGTGTGGGCAACAGGGATGTGGATCTCCACACTCACCGAGCAGCCTGGACGGCACAGAGAGGGGACAAGAGACACTGGGCGGGATGTCTGAAGCTCTGCCAGATGGTCTCTGGGGGGCAAGACCTCCCTGAGACTTATAAACATAACAGAGATGAGAGGGACCCTAAACATCGCTGAGATCTAATTCCCTGCCAGCTTGGGTGGTTATGAGGGGTGAGAGGAAACTGTATTTTATGTAGAGGGAAGGAAGGAAGGAAGGAAGGAAAGAAAGGAGGAGAGAAAGAGAAGGAAGGAGAAAAAGAAGGAAGGAGAGAAGAAAGACAGGAAGCAGGTGTGTGCTCTTCCATCCCCCATGGCTCACACCAGTGCCGGCTGGGACAGAGACGGAAAGGAGAACACTGTACCAGAACTCCCCGTCATCAAGGGCACAGTGACACAGGCGCTTCTGTTCAGTGAGGTCCACGGAGCGCCATTCAGGAGCGCTAGGAGCAAAGCGAGTTGGAGTTCAGCTGTGGGGTGGAGCCACCCCTCCCAGGGTCCCCTAGTGTCACATAGGGGGAGAATGTCCTGTCAAACACCTGCTCACTGGACCCCACGATTGCTCAGGGATTCAGGCTGGCAGGTCACTGGCCCAGTGCAAGGGCTGGTCAGAGAGAGTATCTCCAAGGGCTGCCCTTTGACAATTCTTGGGACATGTGAGCCTCATCAGTAGATCATTGCGGGATAATTGCAAGGAGGTGAATGCTGGGGGCGGCTGGGCCAGGGGGCCTCAGCCAGTGGTCAGTGACCACCACAGAGAACCTTCATGATTCACCTGCATGGCAGTATTTCAGGGATTCCGACCTTCCCCCTAACACTCATCACCAACGTACCCTACACACTGCTTACTGAGGCTGCTTCTAGCTAGAGCTAGAGTCCTTCCCAGCACTGAGGAGGAATAAAATACCCTCAGGGATGGGAATGCATTCATCCATGCAGACACACAAATGCAACAACAGGGCAGTCAAAGGGCTGCTGTAGAAGTCTTTCTTGGGAACCAAGTTTATACACAGGAGAACCTGAGATCTGAAGTGGGGGAAGTCAGGCTGCCCAGGGCAGGACAGGAACCAGGATAAAGCCTGGGGACTGGGATTCCTGGGAACAAGCTACTCCTCTTTCACAGCTGCAGATAGCCTCAGCTCATGCACCCTTGGACCCACAAGAGATGGGGCCTGGCCACTGACCTGTCGCTCCATGACCCATTCCACTCCACCTGGCCCCAAGGGTTCCGAACTCTGATGAGCTCGATTTTCTGGCCTCGGTAATTTACCTAGAATGGAGAAGCAACAGGGAAACATGAAGAGACAAAATCACAGAAGTTTGGCTCTACTCCTCAGTGAGCCCAGGGGTGCATCTCCCTGCAAGTCAACTGAAACACACTGAAGGTACACGAAAACACTAATTTTTAATCAGCCCTGGGAAGTCCCAAATTCCTACTGAAAACAGTTGTTAGCATTGCCCGTGCTGTCATAATCATCACAGAATGGGTATGCCACATCTGGGAAACAGATTGTAATTAACAAGAATTTGGTCCACGTTCAAAAGGAGTTTTTCCTCTAGACCAGGATCTCCCGGAACCCCTGAGTTGTATCCATCTGTGGCACCTCAGTGTCTGGCACAGGATGGTCAGAGTGGTCCCCAGAGGTGCTCAGGGAATGCACTGTCTGCTCCCAGATGGGTGGGGAGGAGCATAATCCCACGTGCTGGGAATTAAACACAACCACAAACCAAAGAATCCACCTTCTAGATTCCGTGCTCTGTGCTCTGGGGTCCTGGGCAGGAGGAGGGAAGAGGCATCTGAGAAAAGTTAGAGGTGAAGGAACGAAAGAAAAAGGCTTTTGTTCATCAGGCAACTAGAAATCTCAGCTATCAGAATGCTTCATGCTCATGCACTTGACAAAAATTGCATTCTGATGAGTAAAACCAATTCAAGCAGCATCTACTTGGCCGTGGGAGGTGTGGCTTGGGACCCAGCGTGTAGGAAGGTCACTGGTTTAAAATGTCCTGAGAATGGCAAGCTCCTTGCAGGTAGAGAGAAAGCAGGATAAAGAGGACTGGGGAAGGAACAGAAGAGGCCTCTATACTTGGAACAGTATTTAGAAGGTGTGACCTAAAAACCATGTGCCATTCAAGAGAGCAAGCATTAGGACATGCAGAGACAGGAAAGGGATGGAAGGAACCAGCACAAGAGCTGCAGTGCTGGAGAGTCCCAAAGAATGTGACTGCATCTCAGACCTGGGCAGCAGAGAGGAGGAAGGAAGAGCACCTCTCCTGCCTTGGACTCCATAAGCATCTGTCACTCAGCATGTCATCAGCCCTGGGAGCCTGTATCCTCTTCAGACATGTCCCTCGGGGACCCTCCTCCAGGCCAGCCATTCACTAGAAGTGGGGTGATATTTCACAGGGTCTGGATGTCCAGTATCAGTGCATCCTGGGCTACAGTTGCAGGAATGGGACTTGGGATGGTCAATTTCATGTGTCACCTTTCCTGGGCCACTGGGTGCCCAGATATTTGCAGAAAGGTTTGTCTAGTTGTGTCTGTGCAAATATTTCTGGGTGAGATGGTTTAATTTGGCACACTGAACAATGTATAGGGCCTCCCAGTCTGGGTGGGCTACACCCCTCTTCTCAGACCTGAGCAGATCAGAAGGCAGAGGAGGGTGAATTTGCTCTCTGCCAACTGTGTGGGCTGGAACACCAGTCTCATGCCCTGAGGCCAGGACTCATACTACTGATTTTTCTGCCTTTAGGTTTTGCTTCAGACTCAAACTGGATCTAAACCATTGGCATTCCTAGGGCTCCAGACTGCAGATGGCAGGTCATGGGACCACTCAGCCTCCATAATCACACAAGCCAACTCCTTATAACAAGTGGCATTTATATATACATTTTTTTTCCTATCAGTTCTGTTTTTCTCTGGAGTACCTTAACATAGCACTATATGAAATTGGGAAACAACAGAAGAAAATGAAATAAAAAAGACCCCCAAACAGACAAACAAAGCCCAGGCTTGCAGGCCTGTGGAACAAGTATGATGCTGTGGAGGAATCACATTGATTCCTCTCTCATCCCTGTTTTTTTGTTTTTGTTTTTGTTTTTTTTTGGCGTCTCAGCCTGTCTCTTTTCAGGGAGACAGGCTCTGTAACATCTGAAAGGTGGCTTAAACTGTGATGCCTGAGAGAGAACCATTGGCCTGTCCTTCCCCGACCCCTGCAGTGGGGTTCTGCCCCTACCTGGTCAGTCCCCGTCACAGTGTAGGCATGGCCCTTAATAAGACCGAAAGGTGTCCGGGCTTCAGACTCTGCAGAATTTCTGGTCTAGAACAGGAAAAGAGCAGTGTCAGGCACACTGACGGTGTTGAGCCTTCCCTACCAGACCAGCCCGAGGCCCATGCTCAGACATCCTGGCCACCGTCCCTCTGATCTCCAAGGCCCTGGCCATGTGTATGGGCAATGTGAACTGGGAACACAGGACACTGTGAACATGCTCATAAGTGATACAGTCCAGTCCCCATCTCATTTCATAATGGGGAGACCCTCACTCCCAGCCAGGAGGAGATCACTCTTCTGTCCCCAAAGAAAACTCAACCATCACCACCCCCACTCAGTACAGCATGAGGCAAGAAACATAATTGCATATACCGGGAGACATATAACATGGACACATGACTGTGCCACGGATGTGAACTTGTACAGGAAATGATAATTTATCAGCAAAGGATACAGGTTAATCCAAGAAGATCTGAATAGATGAGATACAATGATATCTGTGATGCATGTGTACAGAAATTTTTAAAAATTCTGTTAGATTTCTATCAGAAGGCTATATGGTAAGATCCCTTCCAGTGAAGCTCAGGCAGCTTCCCCCAGCACGTGTGTGTAGTGCACGTGCCCATCTGTGCAAGCAGAGGTGTAAAGAACAGTCCACATATCCTAACCAGATGGGCCGGGAGGCAGGAAATCTGGAAGGAGGTGGGAATGTGTTCCACCTGATAGCAAGTTTACCTTTCAGCAAAACATGAAACAAAAACTTAGGTTTTATCTGAAGAACTAAAACCCCCATGAGAGTCCTTCTCTCCTCTAGAGCCTCCCAGGGTCCCTGCAGCACCCAGAGTGTGGTCTGCCAGCAACTCACATCTATGGAGCAGCCCAGCAGGGAGCCACGCCCCAGGGCCTTCTCCAGGATCTGGTAGAAGTCCTTCGGTGCCTCTCTGGTGTGGAAAGTCTCGGCCACACCACCAGTGAAGTCCTCCATGGCCTCGATGGTGCTGCCTCCCTTTAGCGCCTCATAGCTCCCATTCAGCCTGCAGTGTGGCAAGGGGGAGATGGCTGGGTCGGATGGAGGGAAGCGAGCAGGGTACAGGCTCCTGGAGGCCAAGATCCGGGCTGTTCTGGGGGCAGTGAGGTACGGTGGTACAGGGCAGGGCTCTCCCTTGGGTGCTTGGGGGTTGAGTCTCAGTTCACTGCCTACAGGCCTCCCTGGGGGCTGACTATATATGGGCTCCTCCTCTCCCTTTATAGGCATCTCTTTCATTAATATGCACTTAGTTTTAATATATATGAAGTGAGATTAAAAAATAGTGTTCTAAATAAAATTTTTACAGTAAAAGACACATTGCCACTAACCCACTCACAATACTCTCCTGTGGTTTGAACACACTTATCCCATTGTTCTTCCCACTTTCTGAAGCAGTTCCAGGAGTCTTCTTTCGTGAGAGTCTTCAGTTGTACTGTTTGTGGCTGCCTTGATGTTCTGAATCAATTCAAATGTTGACCTTTCATGGTCATTTTGACTTGACATAACCTCATCTATGTGTGTGTGCTCATGTGTCTTGGTGTGTCTATTTCTCCATGTGTCTCTGTGTTTATGTGTGTGTCTCTGTGTCTGTATGTGTATGTCTGTGTATATGAGCGTGCACTTCTGTGTGCATCCTCACTTTCTGGCACTACAAGAGATTCCAGGCTCATCCTGGGTATTTCCAGTCCAGTCCTAGCATCAGCCTTATCTCCGAGGAGCAGCCTGGGAGATAGGCGTGGCTGCTGCCGGGGTTGTTGTTGTTACTTCTGAGTCCTGTTCACCGACAAAGCAAGGGGAGGAACAGGTGCAGAGCCCAGAAGCACATGCACACCCCTCTATATGACCGTCTCTGTTAGATGCAGTGCAGTCCGTGCTGGTGTCTCCAACTCAGCTCAGTCTCCACATGGGCCAAAACAGGACCCTCAGCTTTCTGTCTGTCACCTTCAGTGCCACCAGCAAGAAAGCCACCCATGCTGTCCACTGACCTGATGTTTCATTAGGTCCAGGCATAAGTCCATCAGGACTGCATGCCTGTACCTCTGTGAGGAGCAACTTTATCAACACAGCACAGGATGTGCACAGTTTCTTCAGCCTTGACGTGTAAAGGCCTTGCACCTCTGCCTGAGACTGGCACCCCATCTCCCCACCTTTGCTGATTTCATTTCAAAAGTTTGTGAGATACAGCAAGACCCCGGCTTATGAGCCAGTTCCATTCCAGGAGAATGTTGATAAGTTGGACTCATTCATAAGTCTGACAAAGTGTCCTATATACCTTTGACACAAATATGCAATCTAAAGCATAAAAAAAACAACTGTGAGGTTTGTTCATATTTGTGGAGGTTTGCAACTCGAATGTTTGTAAGTCGGGGACTCACTATTGTTAGTCTGTTTTATCACGCTCTGCTAGTGGGCCTGAGGGAGCTGAGGGCATTTGGTTGGCGATTAAGTGTTGGTATCTTGATTCCACTTATATGAAGCTGCTGGGTGGTCAGACCATAGAGACAGAAAGTGGAACCACCCTGACAGGGGCTGGGGAGGGGAAAGGAGGCGGGGTCTATGGGCACAGGGCTGCAGTTCTGCAAGAGTTTTATGTGCTTGTAGCACAATAGTGTGAATGTGTCAGCGCTGCTGAGCTGTACACTTCCAATGGGGGAAAAGAAGCTGAATGTAGTGGTGTACAACTGTAATCCCAGCACTCTGGGAGGCTGAGGCAGGAGGATTCCAAATTCACATCCAAGCCTGGGTAACTTAGTGACTTAGCAAGACCCTGTCTTAAATAAAAAAATTAAAAAAGAGATGTAGTTGAAGCCCAGTGTGAAGACAGTCTGGTCTCCAGCATTTGCAAAACTAAATAAGTAAATAAATAGATTAATTAAAAATGGTAAATTTTGTGTTATCCATATCGTACAACTATTTTTTTTAAGGAGAAAAGGAAAGGAGCATGGGGAGGGGGCAGTTGACATCTCTACACCCACGTGACACTGTCTGGCGGGCTGTCTGAAGAACCCAGTGCTGCAGACCCAGCCAGACCCCCCGCCCTCACTCCTTTCACAGCTCTTCCCAAGGCCAGGTGGTGCCTCAGGGAGACAAAGGAGATACATGTGGTCCCAAGGACAAGCAGCACATCTAGCCAGGAAAATTGCTATGCGTCCTGCAGGACTGTGCCTCCATTTCCCCCATGAAGCGGCTCTCTAACAAGGCAGTGAGAGGGTGGTCCTGGGGCCAGAACTCACTTGGCATAGGCTTTCTCCAGCAAGGCGCTCCAGAACTCACAGTGGTCGGCTGAGTGCAGGAAGACCAGGCGGTCCCTGAAGGTGGGCAGGCGGTCATCGATCACCACGTCCAGCCACTCACTGTGCTGCCAGAACTAGGCCAGGGAGACAGGTGGGAGAGGGTGAGTCCCGGGGCTGTGTGCCCCTGGGAGTGTCATGCTGCTGCTCTTCCCTCCCAGCAAACTGCCCTTAGCACCTGGAGGGAATCCCACAAGGTGGGCTTTGTCCACGAGACCATATACTGAGCTCTCACCCTCCAAGGACTTCAGGTCCTAAACCTGTGCCCCCGTGGAAATGGAGCAGGACCAGCATAGGAGTTACATGAGATGTCACGAGATGTTGCGGTGCTCTGAACCATATTTCTCTTCCACACCAACATTTGGGCAGAAGAAGGGTGGTGCTATGGGGTTTGGATCTGCTCTTGCCGGCCCAGTCCTGTGTTCTCTCCACTCAGTTTTAGGCTCTAGCTCCTTAGGATGGTCCTTGGCCTTCAGTGCCCTCTTGGCTGATAGGTGGAGCCCAAGGCTGATGTCTTGGCCAGTAGACTTGGGTTTCCTGAGTCTCAGGGGTGGAGACGTGGAGGGAGCGTTGGTGTGTGTGTGCGCTGGTGTGAAAATGTGTGCACATTGTGTTCACTCATGTATTACATGTGTGCATGTGTGTGAGCTTGTGTGTGTCTGTAGGGAATAAGAGGGGCAGTAGAGTGGGCCAAGGCCTGTGCATTTGCTCTCCCTTTTATCCCTCAGGGACCCACCTCCTCCCTGTTTCTTCCCCACAACTGGCCTGCCAGGCTCTCAGGTTGTCACTGAAGCATCAGAGTGGCAGCTAGGCACAGTGGCCTTGGGAGCCAATTTGAATATTCCCACACTGTGGCTCAGCCCCGGGGAGCTGCCCAGTACCCAGGGAGATCCTTTGTCCAGGCCTCAGCCTCAGGCCTCCTGCAGGGGGCAGGGGCTAGCAGGGAGCCTGGTGCTGGCCCTGTGCAGGGAGAGCTTGAGGGGCTCTAGCTAACAGACCAGCTCTGCTGGCTACCCTGTCTCCACAGAGCTGCACTGTGGCCCAGGGACACAGGGGAAGCATGAGGGAGGGGACTGAGGAGGGACAGTAGAGAGCCTGGCAAGGCCAGTCTCCACCTGGCCAGAGGCAATGCAGTGCAGTTCCAAAGGACACCAAAGACAATTCTTAGGCTCTAGGTCCTTTGGCTACTTATAGTTGTGTGACCTTAGATCAGGTACTTCCGCTCACAGGGAAGAAAATTCAGGAGCCAAGCATGCCACCTGCCAGGGTGCCAAGTGCCCTGAGGCTCCTCCGAACCGTGCCCCAAATGCTTCTCCGATGCCTGGATGTTACTGCAGCACACAGCATGCTTTCCACACGGCTCAGCACTGCAGTGCACACACATGCTGCCATGTTCCTTTCAGAGTTCCCTCCTGGGCAAAGGCACAGGCAGCATCCTGCGGGGCCCCAAAGAGGCAGACCCACTGGCGTAGGCCCCCCTACCTGGAAGTGGAATATTCCAGCGTAGCCAGGCCCGAAGCTCTGGTCCTGGGGGACCACTCTGGCCAGCGCCTTCTCATTGAGTGTGAGGGAGGCGATGGCGGCCAGCAGCCAGCAGTCCCCTGCAGAATGAAGGCCATAAATCACACTCATTGGCAGTTCTCAGTAATTAGGGAAATGTTGTGCCAGGGGAACGTGGGGAGCTCCAACAGCCACGTATTTTCTTATTTTAAAAAAATGGCAGATTTCCAGCCAGATCTGCAGGACTGGGAGGGGAGAGGGCAACGGGACCGCCCGGCCATGTCTGGGGGCACAATTCTTAGGGCCGCTGTCTCTCCCAGCCCACGGTTAGTTTAGAGGCAGCAAGACTCTGGTGGCTCCATTTGCTTTCAGTTATCTTGCAGTTTGAATTATCTTGCAGTAAAGATTGATTAATCTACGGAACTCCCCAGCAGTCTTCTGGAGGCGATCTGAAAGGCGAAGTTCCCCATCAGAAGTTGTTTGGCCTGCGTTGCGTACCCTCCTTGATGTGGTGGGGCAGGCGTGGGTCTGAGGTGCCTTGCAGTGTTTCCCACACTGCTGTGGGATAAGCATGAGCAGATATCTGGGAGCATCCATTTACCCCACAGGACAGGCCAGTGGGGTCCAGGTTTGTTTGATTTCAGTAGACAATGAAACAACGAGGTCACACTCAGCTTGGCTTCCAGAGAATTCGCATTTCTGCGAAGTCCAAGTTATACCCAGAATACATGCTTTATCATCTACCCCTTTGTGCATCTGCCTTCCTTCCTTCCTGTCACATATCTGCTATCTAGCTCTGTCTCTTTCTCTGTCTCTCCCCTATGACCTGAACATGCCCCTGTCCCATGCAATGTGTGTTCAAACTCAAAGGCCAATGCAGGACTCTCAGGTAGATCTACCTGTTAGCTGTCATCTGCATACCTCATAATCTACCTATGTATATTTAGCTCTGTTACTGACATGTCTATCTAACCTATCACTGAGCTCTATTAATCATCTACCTTATCTATCTCTCTCTGTCAGCAGTGCAGGCTGGTGGCTTTGGGACTGTTTAGGGGAGCTCAGGTATTCCACACGGGGTTCCATTATGGCCTGCCTTACCTTAGCCTGTAATTTGGGGTCTGCACACACTTACCATATTTGCTCTCTTTAGCTGATTCTACTGATTTTTAAAAAAAATTTATTAGCACATGTCTGCAATACATAATAGTTGCATTCATTGTGGGGAGTTGATACATGTACATAATACATGTCTTTTTTTTTGCCAGCATCAGATTTATTTGTTTCTATCAAGTTAATTATCACAAACATAGATTAATAGTGATATTAACAGATGAAAAAATGCATAAAACAATTACACTAAATCAAGCTACACTTTTAGGTACATTGGCTATGCTGGATTATAATAACTTTTCCTCCCTCTTTTCTCACTGTCTGTTATTTTGCTCTTTATAATTTTTGTTTCTCATATAAGAGAAATCATGGAATATTTAAGTTTGTGTGTCTGATTTACTTCGCTTAACATTATGGTCTCAAGGTGTATCCATTTTCCTACAAATGACTCAAATTTATCCTTTCTTATGACAGAGTAATACTTTATTATGTATAAATACTACAGTCTCTTTATTCATTCATCTGTCGTTGATGGGCATGTAGACTGTTTCCAAGATTTAGCTATTATGAATTATGCTACTACAAACATGGATATGAATGTATCACTGTAATATGACTTTATTTCTTTGGTCTTCTAGATACCTAGAAGGAGAATAGCTGGGTCAAATAGAATTCCTATTTTTATTTTTATTTTTATTTTTATTTTTTTCAGGAATCTCCACGGTGAAAACAAGAGCCAGTGTGGTATGATAGTTCGGAGTATGGCCTCTGCAGCCAGACTACCCCTGCATGAACCCTAAAAGTCTGTCTGCTACCTCCAAGACCTTGGACCAGTTGCCTGGTTCCCCCAGCCTCAGTTTTCTCATCTGTACTAGGGGTTGGGAAGAGGAAAGGAGGTGTATTCCTAAGGGGGTGCCAGCAGATGGCCAGTCCATGCTGCAAGAGCTGGCTAGCCATGCTGGGAGCTCCAGGCCAGCCCAGGCCATGCACAGGCGCACCGCCAGAGGCTGGCAGTGTTAGTTTCTTGGGGGCTCTATGCAGGGCAGCATACTGGGGAGGAGGGATAGGAATGGAGGCCGTGCTGTCCCCAACCCCGTGGCCTGCTCCTTATGGCCCCGGTGCTCCTCCTGCAGTGGCAGCTGCTCAGAGCAAGTCCCACGGCCCCTTCCCAGCAGGTTCCATCCCCCACACTTACCCAGCTCCCCCTGGCAGATGTCGGTCCTGGTGGCGCCCCCCTGGATGAATTCTGGGTGTTCCACAATCTCCTGTGGAAAGGGAGAGAGGACTGTTGGAGTGTGTTAGGTATTGGTACTCCCCTGTTGGGGGGGCACCCTGTATCTGATGACTTGGGAAGATGGGGTGTAGTTGAAGGTGGCCGACTGTGGGGCAAGACCTTGGGGACTTTGTGTGGTCCCTGGCTCCTTCCTCGCTGGCCCTTTTCCTCTCTGCTTCCTGACTGCCATGAGGTGAGTGGCTTTCCTCTACACTACTCCAACTCCATGATGCTTCCGCTTTAACACAGGGCTCCAGCAGTGGAGCCAGCTGACTGAAAACTCTGAAACAATGAGCCAGAATAAACCCTTCCTCCTCCAAGCGGCTCTTCTCGGCACTTTGTTAGTGATGGAAGGCTGACCACGCATGCCCTTGCTACAGTGGTGGTGCAGCACACAGCGGGTCTCAAAGTACAGCCATTTTCTAAATGTTTCTCAAACATTCACGTAAACTGAGCTGGAGAGCTTCTGGGAAAGGCTGGATTACTAGATGTGCCAGAAAGCCAGGCCTGGCAGAAGCACGACAGCCCGGTGCCAGCCCCTTTTCATGAGGCCTTGCACGTCCCCGCATTCCCACCCTCAGCTCCAGGAGGCTCTCTTGGAGGCTTTTCATTAAGTGACCTTAATCTCCAGACACAGGACAGGCAGCAAAGGCAGGTCCTCGGTGTCCCTGTCTGCAGGTGTGACCCTCCTGAATCTGCACCAGGCACGCTGCTGTCCCCTCCTTGTCTGCTTCTCTGCAGATTGAGCTGGGCACTGTACTCACTCTCACTTTGCCTCCCCAGGCTCCTGCGAAGTCACCTAGCTCTGTGCTCCTACTTCCCTGAGCTCAGCTGTGTTTGACAAGAAGGTGGTGCAGGGAGCCACCTGCCCCACGCCCCACTGGGCGGCTGGGTACTTGCTGCTGAGATATGCAGGGTACGTGCCCAGCAGAAACTCAGGCACATCCCAGCCATGGGCGTCTGGAGGAGACTGCGATTCAGGTTTCCCTGCCCCCCACACCAGGCCCCGCCCTTCCATGCTGCAAGGGGACATGCGAGGCCCTCCCAGTGCCTTGCTTCTTATTTTCCAGATGTCTCCAAGACAGAGCACAAAGCCCCCTGACTCCAAAGCAGACAAGCTGCATTTCCAGGACCAAGGAGCAGACCAAGGGGACGAGGGCAGAAGTGGTTCTGAAAATGAGTCCCCAGGACGGGCAGTACACAGTGGACCTGAACAAAGGGCCTGAGACAAAGGGAGAGGGTGAGGCTGGGAGGCATCCTCAGGGGGTGGGGGTGGGGTAGGCAGGGCACATAGAGAGGCCGTGTATATGGGGTTGGGCAAGGGTCAGGACCTGGCTGGGAAGACAGCAGTGGCACAGATGGAGCCTCTGAGGCTGAAGCCTGGACTCCGGAGCCCTGGGGGACTTGCTGGGTCTCTGAGGCCCTGTTTCAGGAGGAAAACACAGGTTGCCGGCCTGAGGGGTTCGGGCCAGGCAATGGTGCAATGGTGATAACAGTGCAGGTGGGAGGTGGGTTCTCAGGGCAGCGGGGGAGGTATGCAGTCTCACACACAGCGAAAGGGCTGAAGATGATCCTGCTGTCTGCTGGGCTCTTGACTCAGTGCTCAGCCCTCTTACAAACTGTCCTCACAGTGGCCCCGGAAGTGAGTGGATTATCGTCCCACTTTACAGAGGAGAAAGTTGAGGCTCCGTGGTGGCAGTGTGGACCTCCGTTGTGGAGGAGGCTTGCCTCACTGCTGGGAGCATTAGGCCCCAGCCAAGGCCACACGCTTGGGGGCACCACATGCCAGGATCAATCAGTAGGGCTGCAAACATAGAGATCTTGTCACTCCAACTTGGAACAACTCTGAAAGGCCACCCTGAGTTGGGCTGAGGCCTTCATGGGACCACAGTATGTCCTTTGAAGCTGTGATTCTCAGAATACCCTGGGCCTCCTGAGGTCTGAAGAGGAGGTTGCTAGCTATAAAAGCCTGGGCTGTTGGGGGGTGAGAGGAGCTCCACTCATGCAGGGAACAGTGGCAGGGGGCAGTCCACCAGTGAGCCCAATGGCGTGGGGCAGAATGCATAGGAGCAGGAGCAACCGTCCTTGAAGACACAGGGAAAACTTAAGGAACCCAGGCCATCCCCTCTCCTCCCTGTGACAGCCAGAGGGGCAGGGACCCCAATGTCACTCCTCATGCCCTCCCCAATCCCCTGCTCTCCTCAGGGATGGCCTAGGCCACCAGCTCCAGAGTCCACACCCCTGACGCCCACGAGGGCCTTCAGGCCACTCTGACCGGAGCTGAGCTAGGGGGCAGTGACATCCCCCTGATCCTACTGCTCCAGGAGAACCTCACTGGGCTGTGGTGGACAAGAACCTTGGACCTGTCCCAGATGACCACACCCCGCCACTGTCCCCACTGCCGGGAAAGCCCTCAAGCGGGTGCTCAAATGTACAAAGTGCGCATGCACGGCCCACTGCTGCTCCACGTGAGCAGCCCTCACAGTCCTGGGTCCGAGGGGAGCAGCCAGTGCTGAGGGCCTCCAGAGACCAGCAGAGAAACCCAGAGAAGCCTTGGAAGTTGCTGGGGGAGCTCCAGAAAACTGACAAGGAGGCTCTGAGCCTTGGCTACTGAGGAGCTGACAGTGGCTGGGAGCTGCTGGCAGCTATGACCCCGTGGGGCCTGGGCCCTCATGCACTCAGAGCCTGGAGCCACTAATGGAGCTGTTTTTGTTGATTTCTATCCACATTAACCAAAAGGACCCTCTGCTGAGTGGTTACAGTGGGAGCTGATGCCTTGTTCCTCCACAAAGCTGAGCTGGGAGGGTGCTGGAGGCAGGGGGACCAGTTAGGAGGGAAGACAGCTCTCAGAATTTCTCAGAAGAAAGCCTGAATCCCCTGGGGACAGCTCTGTCACACTTACAAGAGTCCTGGAGCACCCGAGGAAACTCACCCCTGAACCAGGCTGGGCACAGTGGCACCGAAGGGCTCCGGGACTCAGGCCCGTGTCCCCATCGAAGCCGTCTCTGGGACCTGGACAGAGCCGTTCCCCCATGGGCCCCAACATCAATAAGCCTAGTAAACAAATGGCCCAGGGCATTTCCTAAATTCTTTGAGCCTTAATGTTTTAACTACTAAAATTAAACCATTTTAAAGGTGCAAATTGGTAAAGTATGGATCTACTATTTAAAAAATAAAAATAAATCTCAATTCAAACAAAGTTAATTGCAGTGTCCAATGACTCTGGTGCACTTCATTATTTCTATTTTGTCAGCTTTCTGTCTTCCTTTCACCTTGGGATGTGTGGAGACAGTTCAGGGGCACTGGGGGGTGAGAGTGACGCAGTTTCCTCTGCAGATGTCCCAATTCCCACACCTACCACTCACACTTCCCATCGACCTCCAGCCTGCCAAAGCGTTTTGTGTCAGGAGCAGGAGCTCCTGGAAGGGGTCTGGGGGAGGGGACACAAATGCCACATGCAAGTCAGGAGTCACAAGTTCCAGAGCTCAAACCTGTCTTGGCCTAATGACACATTGTTTGCTGGTGACAAGCTGTGTGATGTGCAAGCATTTCTCAGTATTGTATCTCATTAAGTACAGACTGTGTACTGCTCCAGGACAAGAATCATACCTGCCATGACCTGGACCCCCACTTTTGAGGGCTGGCCAGAGCATCTGCCCTTCTGGGACAGTGCCACACGCCCAAGGCAGACATCACCAGCATGTCACAGCACTGCCGCACCCCAGGCACGGTGCCATGACAGTTTCTGGTTAGTCACACTGGGAAGTCTGCAACATGGACGCTGCCCAGTTTCTTGCTGAGGCCTTGAGGCTGACTAGTGGCAGCCCCGATTCCATTTACCTAAACCCAGGAATGCACCAGTGGCGGACCAGAACCCCTATCTCTCCCGCTCTTGCTATTCAGAGGTACGTGGCACTGGAAGAGGGGAAGGAAGGGGTCACTAGGTGGGCTCCAAGGGTGGAACCCCTTTTGGAATGGAAGAAGTGACTGGAAATTCCCAGGAGGAGTGAAGCAACCTCAGCAGGGTGGCGAGGATGGAGTGGCGTGAATGGAGTGGTGTGAACTCTCTCTGGGAGCACCCCAGAGTCCTGGCCCTTGCCCTTCCTGCACACTGTGGTGTCCTGTGCTTGTCTGGGCTTGTATGGATCCAGTTGACTCCATTCATAGTAGAGATGAAGGGCTGTGACCACAGGCACTGAGGCCAATGGCAGGGTGAGGGGGGTCCTGGGAACAACTCCCACTGGTGCCCAGAGCATGTGAGTGCCACCTTTTCACACCAAGCCCAGGAAGAGAACACTGCCGTTTCTTGGCACCTAGGGCAAAAGAGAAAGCTGCCAGTGGCCAAAGGAGGCCAGGCCAGGCCAAGATTTGGCCCTTCTGGGCTGACATAGTATGAGCCTTTCTGGAACCCCGTTTTCTGGGAATCCTGACTACCAGGAATCCTACCCCCAGTTAAAGATGCATCTGTCGTCTGCAGTGTGGGCAACAGCTCATATGCCCACGTATCTGTGTACTGAAGGCTGGAAACAAGTCCAGAAGGCCCTGAGGGCTATGACTGGGCCCCTCAGGGGTCACTCCCTTGTCCAGGCCAGATGGAAATGGCCTTGTCTTCCTTGGCTTAGTGTGTCTACTCACCATATCCATAAAGTGCGTCCCCCACATGATCTGCCAGTGCCCTGGCCTCGTGCTGCATTTGGCCACATGCAGAGAGCAAAACTGATTTTAGAGTGGCTTTAGGTGATCCTGAGAGAGTTCCTGCGGTCCTTCTTCCCCTCTACTAGGGCCACTGGGTGCTCATGATTCCCCCACAGGGGAGGCACTGAGATAGTACTTAACTTTTTATCTGGTGTGGATTCTTTACTCTGCAGATGAAGCCTGGAGCAAATAAGCCTGCATATGTAGTACACACTTATGCATGTGGATGCATACAATCACCTACATCTGTGTGCATACACACATGCATGTGGCCATACACACACAGACTCCCTGCTGCCTATGACAGGAACTAGCCGCAAAGACTAGCTACTTCATAATAACAGCTGTATGTGCTTTGGCCCTGCACCTGAAGAACCTGGATGATTTACATACGTGCTTTTATAAAAATGCATATGCTTTGCATTTAAAACATGAACAATATTTTAATGTCAGGAGATGGACAGGAGGAGTTATCATGAATCTTTCATTACTGATAAGACGAGATACAGAGCTAACGATGTAACGAGGATGCCAATAGTAACCATGACAACACTGTCATTTAGTGGCTCCAGTCATTACTGGTCCTACTTTACAGGTGAGCAGACTGAGGGTCTTGCCCTGTGCACTCCTTTCTTGCACACAAACATCCTGTCCCCCTTCTAGAGCCACTCCGGGGCAGGACCCATCCAAATGGAGTTGCACCTGGGGGGTCTGGTCAAGGGGAGAGCCCTGACTCATCTGACTCCGCAAATATTGACTATGTACCTCAGGCACCTGCTGGAGGCTCTCAGGATCATCACCTCCAGGCTGTCAAGGCGGGGCAGCAAGACCCTGTCTCCTGTGAGAACCTTGGGGCGGCTCTGGAAGAGTACCTGCTTCTCCCAAATCAAATCGCAGCATGCTGAGCACTTGCTGAGCCAGGCATCCTTCCACATGATGCATCCTAGGCTCCAGCCAGAGCCACGGCGCCTCACCTTGGACCCTCACCACAGTCCAAACTGCCCCATCACCTCTGTGCTTGCTTACTCTTGGATTCTGATGGGACATGTTGCCCGAGATTTATCCTTTTGGACAAAGCTTTGTTCCCGCTCCTTACTGCAGGTAAGATCCTCTCTGTGTAACTCCCCTGCCTTGGCGGGAGTCGGGGAGTTGCCGGTGAGGGAGCGCAACCAGACACCCTGGGGTCCCGGTGTGGTGGAGCACATAACCCGCAGCTCCCCCCCCCACACACAGACACTGCAAATTCTTAACAGTGGGTGCAGACCTGCCACAATGAGGGTCCTTCCCTCCTCCCCAGGGCTTTCCACCCTCTCCCCAAATGCCAAGCCTGCACCCCACCCTCCTTTCCCACTCACCCCTGGCCGTTTCCACACGAAAGGAACCTGGGGCCTCTCGCTGAAGAACAGGGAGGCATTGCAGGCAGGGAAGTCTGTGTCCTCAAACAGGGTGCCAGCCCGCAGACAGTCCTGCCTCAGCTGCTCGAAGCTCTGGCCTGAGGAGTGGGTAGTCCGGGCATCCTGGGGGACAGGGTGTGCCCGGGGCCCTGGAGCTGGGTGCAGGTAAGGCATGGCTATCCCACTGGGGCTGGTTAGCCGTGGAGGGAAAGGAGGAAAAGAGGAAAGATGTGTGTGCTGGTCAGCAAGGGTTCTCAGTGCCCCTGGCGAGTGGCCTCACCTCTCCTTATTTGCTGGGTGCGTCCCTGTTAGACTAAGAGGGGCCCTGCCCTGATGGCAAATAGGAAGAGAGAACCTTCTGCCAGATCAGGGCTCTGGAGAGCTGGGGGCAGCTCTGGCAAATGATCAGGGCTGGCAGAGACAGCAACTCTGCTTAATGCACAGAGAGACACAGAGGGAGAAGATTGCAGGAGGGAAAGAGGACAGAGGGAGAGGAGGATCACAGGAGGGAAATTAGGGCAAGAGATCAAACTGGTCTGGGGGGTGGCTGGAGGAGAAGGTGCCGCATGGTCTACAGTCATAGCTACTGCATCAGAGAAAGGCAGAATTCTGCAGTGGGGAGGTGGACCATGGTGGTACATCATAGGTGTACAGAGCTGGCACTCCCATTTGAACTTCTAGCAGGGGTCGCTGTAACAACCAGATGCAAACACATAGCGGGCTGTGGGCTGCAGGTCAGAGAAGAAGCTATTCACCCCTGCTGTTGCAGTTAGAGATGCTGCATGGATAAAGACAAAGGGCTGAGTCCCAGGAAAAAACCTTCTCTCCCAGGCTGGTGGGTCCGGCTTCTATGCTGTGCAACCCCAGACAGAGAGTGAGTCCAGCCCTCATGGGGGCTGTCTTCTCCAGGCCTCACTTCCACTACATTCCTTTGCTCAGAAGCTCACAGCAGGATCTCACATTACCAGAGGATGCAATCAGCCTACCCAAGCATGCCACCACGTGGAGCTCCAGGGCTCCCTGCTCTTCACCATGATCTCAGCGAGTTTGTGACAGTCACAGCTAGCTGAGGAGACAGCCTGGGGTTTACAGGTTCAGAAGAGACTGACAGATTTTATGTAACCTCACAATTCCCAGCCGTGGTCACTTGGTCCAACACAACCCCACATACCATTTTCAGAGGAGGTATAGACAGTGGGGTTGGAGACATTTGGTTAACTCGACTGTGGTAGGAAAGTGCCTGTCCCCCTTGGAATTTGTGTGTTGAAATATCAGCCCTCAAGATGAGGGTATTCAGAAGTGGAGACTTTGGGAGGTGATTAGGTCACAAGGGAGGAGCCTCGTGAGTGGAATCAGTGTCCGTATGGAGGACCACAGACAGCTCCTGTGCCCCTTCCACTTTGTGAGGCTGCAGCAAGAAGACATCATCTGTGAACTGGTCCTTACCAGGCACACAGTCTGCTGGCATTTTGCTTTTGGATCCTTTGCCTCCAAGATTGGGAGCCTTAAGCTTCTGTTGTTTATAAGCCACCAGTCTATGCAGTTTTGTTAGAGCAGTTGCAACAAACTAAGACCAGCTCCCCATTTTGCCAGAGACATCTGGGTAAGTTACTCCATGGGGTGATGCCCAGTCTTTGGCCTTGGATGTCTGCTCTAGAGAGGCCCCATCTGGAAGACACAGGGGCTCAAGGTGCCCTGGGGACCCTCTGCTTCCTAGAGCTGCTCACATGGCCCAGCTCCCTTCAGCTTCAGCCTTCTTTCTCTTAGAAGAGACATCTCTTGTCCTCTGAGCCCAAGTCTCCTCAAACAGCTACAGGCCCTTCCCTGTATGGCCCAAGGTGGCTGTTGAATCTGCCCTTCTATCTCAGAGAAGGGGATTCATTGCTTGAAAGATTATGTTGGAAAGTGAGGTGCTCCTCCCACTGACTGTCTGAGTCTCTCTTTGCATTCTGACCTCAGCCCCAGGTGATGAGAATACCTGGGAAAAAATGTTTGATATAATTTTTATGATTAAGGCCAATGATAGAAGTCAACCAAGTTAAAAAAAAAAACAAACTTTGCCCTAAACATTTGCCTGTAAAGAAATAAATTTGTGCTGATGTGGTGGCATACACCTGAAAACCTAGCACTTGGGAATCTGAGGCAAGAGGATCACTGTGAGTTTGAGGCCAGTCTGGGCTACATAAGCAAGTTCAAGGCCAGCCTGCACTACATAGTGAGACCCTGCCTCAAAACAAAACAAAACAAAATGAATTTGTTTCACAGGTTTGAAAACAGGAAATTATTTTAAGAGTTTATTATTAGCAACAATCTATGTTTTTGCAGCCACACCAACAGCTAGAGCAAGCATCTGAGACAGAAAGAACAAGACTGCCCTCCCTCATCCCTCTGACTACCAGAAGAGGCAGAGACCTGACTGTGACTTGTCACACTCCCCTACTCCCTGTCCTCCTCAGGATTGGCCAGGCCACTGAACCCGGGGTTTCCTGACAACCCCAGGTTACTTCAGGGCCAGTAGGCTGCATAAATAAGAGCCAGTCTCAGGACATAGTGATGCCCTTCCTGCTCCTGCCACTGCAGGAGTAGCTGCTTGGGTTGCAGCAAGCTTGAACCTTGGACCTGTGCCAGACAACCCCCACCTGCCCCTGCCCCTGCTTCATTGGTGGGAAAGTCCTCAAACAGGTCCTATAAATGCATGAACATGTGCAGCCTGCTATTGCTGCCGTATACGCAGCTCCTCGTGGCCTTTGGTCAATAAAGGAGGGATGCTAGTTCTAAGGAGATCCAGATACTGGTAGCAGAGACCAGTGGAGAATCCTAGAGAGGCAGCAAAGGCTGCTGGGAGAGCTCCAGAAATCTGCCAAAAGGACGACGAGCCTGTGCTGCTGAGGATCTGATGGGATGACTGGTAACTGATAATAAAATAGAACAATTATACCAGTGTACTATAATAAAACTTATTTAAACCTTGTGAATTATTTCCATGTAATACTGTTTTGTTTTATATCTAAGCATCCACCAAGATCCTCATTTGCTCATAGATAGGGTTGGGACTGGATTAGGAGGGCTTATAGCTGGCTTGCTGTTGGGTCGTATCTGGTTGGAAGAGGCAGGTCACTGGGGGCGTGACCCGGAAGAGTTTGTCTCCCATCCTTCCTGGACACTCTCTGCTTCCTGCTGCCAAGCCACAAGTACTGTTTCCTCTGCCATGCTCTCCTGCCTTGGAGCCAGCTCACTATAGACTGAAACCTCTACAAACTGTGAACCAAAATCAATCTTTTCTTAAGTTTCAGGTGTTGCGTATTTTATATACCAGCAATGAGGGAAGTAACTAAGGGGTCACCTCAGGCTGTGGTTGCTCGTGGAAGGTGACTGAAATGGATAGGGGGCATCTATTGTATTCACAAGGACGCAGGCAGGAAAACTACAGTAGCTTTATTGTCCCTCACCTTGGAGCAGGGTCCCTGGAACCTCCTGGTCTGGGGAGTAGGAAGGGAGCAGTTCCAGATGGGGGAAGCTGAGACCTGCAGAGAAGGATGCCTGTCCCCTGGCTATTGGAGAGGGGTGACTGGGAAGCAGAAGCTGTGAAGCTGAGGCAAAAGAATTCAAGGAACCTGTGAAGTGTCCTTATGTCAGCCTTCCAGGGGTAACTCAGGCCAGAGAGGGTGGCAGGAAGTCTAGCAGGACAACCAAAGTGCAGCCCAAGCTCACAAGCCTGAAAGTCCTGCAAGTGGAGTTGGTTTGGGGTACAGGAGGAACAATCACCTCCCTGTGACGTTACAAACTTTTGTGAGCAGCTTTTAAAGAAGACTTCACTCATTTTCATAGTGATTATAAAATTAAAATGCAAAAGTACTAAACATGACTTGGAAATCGTTTAGTCTGAGAATAGGAGGAGAAGCTTGTGAGCCTGTTTGAGCTAACTAGTGGGTGAGCCAGAAGGTGAGCCAGGGACTGGTCCCCTTGGGCTTGGGGCAGGAAGGAGAAACACAGTGCCCTCCGGTCAGAGCGGAGGGACCATCTAAAGGAATGAGCATAGAAGACCCTTGGCAAGTCCTGGACCTGCTGCTGTGTGGCAGTGCTCCTCCAGGGGCAGCAGCATCCCATGGAGCTTGGCACAGCTCTGGAGCAGCCAGTGGAGCAGGGACCCACCAAGGACCCTTTCCTTCCACCATGACTCTCCTGTCATCATGAGCAGGAGCAGCCAGCTCTGTTTAGTGGCCTTGAATCAGGTCCTTAACTAGAAGTAGTCACACCCTGAACGCACGGATCATGTATTTATATATTTATAGCCAGCCCTCTGCATCCAAGGTTGCCAGCAATCCTGTATGGAAAATATTTGGAAAAAAAATTCAGACTGAATGTGTTCTCATGTTTTTCTTGTCATCATTCCCTGAAGTTCCCAATGTAATGGCTATTTATTTAGCATTTACTTTGTACTAGTTATCCTAAGAAATCTAGGGGTGATTTAAAGTACATGGGCAGGGTTGGGGGTACAGCTCAGTGGCATAAGGGCCTGCCTGGCAAGCACAAGGTCCCAAGTGTGAGGGAAGACCTGGGGGTGTACCTCAGTGGTAGAAATCTTGCCCAGCTTGTGCAAGACACCAGATTCAATCTCCAGCACCACAAAGCAGGCAGACAGACAGAAAAGGGACAGACATAAAACTGTACAAGAGGACATATGTGGGTTCCATACAATACTATGCCATTTTACCTAAGACACTTGAGCATCCTTGGATTTTGGTTCTAGAAAAAAATCCCCTGTGGATGCCAAGAGACTATTTCTAAGTGTACAGGTCAGCGGCATCCAGCACCTTCTTAATCCAGCCATCACCACCATCCATCTCCAGAACTTTTCCATGTTCCCCAACTGAAACTCTGCCCGCTCACACACTAACTCTCCAGCTGCTACCCCACCTGCCAGCAGCCCATCCTACTTTCTCTTTCTGTGAACCTGACTATCCTAGCTGTTTCCCTCAGTGTAATATCCCTAAGGTTTACCCATGTAGCTCACATTAGTGTTTCCTTCCTCTTGGGCTGAGTAATCCCTCGTATGGATATTACATTTCCCCCATTTATCCACTGGTGCATATTTGGAGTATGTCTACCTTTCGGCTATGGTGGTTGAACACTAGGATTTAAATAAAACAAGTGCCGGGCACACTCACAGACAGCTGCACGGATGAGAGCTCTGTAAAAGTGAAACAGGAAACAAGTGCCCACACGAGGGCGCTATGGAGGA